TCCAGCTGATTTAGTAGTGGTAAACCTCTCATATTCCCATGAACATTAATTGTCGAGCCTGCTGCAGGCCAAGAGTAATTAGTGCTCGGTCGTAGAGCTAGGTTAATTACTTTAATTTGATTAATTCTTCTCCTCTTTGTGCTTTTTGGATCGACAAATTTGATTAAGTGAATCAAAGCATATATATTAAACTGTAGTTAATTATACGTCGTGCAATCCACTGCAATATCAATATATATGCACAGGGCTGATTATTCGTACTGGCACATGCATGCATGCATAGCTCTAGCTAACTAGCGACGGCGCCGTTTAATTACTAGTCAAGGGAATCCAACACGTAGCCCCTCTAGATCATCAGATTGTACATGAACAGAATATATAGGTCCTTCACTATGTTTACATGGCTAATTAATCGTTTCTTCATTATGATCATCCTCCACATTTTGTTGATTGTTGTACGAGTTATTCACTACATTAGAAATATTGAATGATGAATTATTTTCCCGGATTTTATCGAAGAGGGCCTCGACGTGAAGTGAAGGTTGTTCGTATGTGAATATCTAGCACACTCAAGTAAAATTGCAGGTTGATTGTTTTCATTTAGGTTAGTACGCTTCTATTAGTTTATTTTCATTTGGTTGTGTTTTGTATGTTTTTTTATCGATTACTTCTGTTGAGTACAGAATTTTTTTTTATAGATGTTAGATAGCTATTTATTTCGACTGTGAACTGAATCTTGGATGGTTTTTAGTGTTTGTCACCAAATTCTAGTATCTCCCAAATTGAAACCGATCCTACACTTTGTTTAATGAGGTATATTTAGGGCTGCTAATGTGACCAACCTCGTCACATCAACACAAAACATGTTTATATCACGAGAAAAACAAACTAACACATAAATTTTAGCAACCTTTTCCCGTCTGTCGCTAAAAAAATCATAAACTTCATTCTTAGTGGAAGTCGGTCAAATAAAAGGGCTCTAATTAAAATTTCAACCCTAGTAAAAGTGTTATGATTGTTAATCTTTGACAAAGGGCTCGATTTGTTCGATCTTAATATTATTTTAATAATAATGACTTCTTATTTACATCACGTATTATTCTCTATTAAAATAAGAGGCAACCGTAGAATTCTATATTTGATGGGTGGCTACTTTCAATTAAATTAATTTAATACCAGATTACAATGATTAGAGGAAGACTTGATTGGTAAAGTCAAGTACGTAAACAATAAAACACTTTTAATTAACTGGCAGTTCGCACTGTTTGATTGAGGGGAGCCAGTTAATGGAAGCCTAATTTCCAATGTTTCATCGAAGTCAAGTCAACTGATAATAACTGCATACATAGTTAGTTATTCTGATTATACTCCAGGGTAACTTTTACCAAGGACAAGAACTAAGGATGGTAGTGGCTTTGACATATGAGTTAGGTTGGATAAATTGGTATGAAGTATAAATGGTAATAGATTGATTCGTTTTGATATTGTGAGATACAAAACTTCGAGTCTACTATAAAACTGAAAACTAATAAAGAGGACGACTAGACTGGAACGACTTGTGTCCTAAGAATCTTTATGTCAAAATTAAACTAATTTAGTTCAGACATACAGCCTCCATTTCGAAGTTAAAAAACAATACTAGCCAGAGACTACAATGAACCAAACTGGAAAAAATACTAATGTTTAATTTCAAAATTACTCTTGATTGAAACAATACATATTGTAAATATAAATCATGTCAAACATAAATCAGGCAAAAACCTCAATTTTACAATGATAAAACAGACAACCAGAAGTCCCCACCAAATAGGCAATAACTATAATCACTTGCTAGCCAAAGTCATCAAGCTAAGAGTACGATTATATATAGTATGCTATTATATATTGTTAAAGTTTCATATTATTAATGGCAAAGCTTGCCAGCTGCCTCGTTGGAATTTGGAAGAACAAATATTAAAGCTAAAATTAATTTCAATTAATTCTCCCTTTTTTTCGAGATGGTTGGTATAACTAATACATAAGAAAAGCTTTGAACACCTAGCTGTATATTTGATACTAAGTTGATTGTCTTATCTAAGGCCGAAGAAGAGAATATCCTAATCCCCATATACCACAATGGAAGAAAACAAGGATACAATAGGTTTTAGAACTTTAGTGTGCTAATTAATGGTCTTATATTAAATATAATTGGACAGGGACAGCTTGGGATTGTTAATTAATTAGTTAATTGGCGCATGATTAAGGAAGCTCAAGTTGTTATTAAGATTGCCAAATCAAACATCAAGTAGGTGAAGGGAAATATGGGTGCTTATACTTAAACTTAATTGCTCCCTAATGAGATTGATCTAATTGGTGGATAAGCATGTGGGCTTTTGTCATCAATCTAGCATCTCATAATCGTCACCATCAACATCATCAATTGGCTATTAAACAGGTTTGTTGGGAAGGAGATTCAATCTTAAATTCGAAATGAAAGTTTCAAGTCGAAAACTAATAATGATAAAGTTAGATCAAATCGTCGTTCATCAATCAGAATAAACTAAGGTAAATGGATTGTTTCTGTTATATCAATCATCATATATTTTGTACCAATGCTTCTCTCCCCTCTATCATATTAACTTATTTACTTAAATTTGTTTTATTTTTTTATTATGTCATATTGCAAAGGTACTAACCCAAATACCAAAGCATATTTGTTGAAAGAACAATATCACAGACATGATGAAGATTAGGGTGATTTAATATGCTTTTTTAATAATGTAAACAGCTTTGTATGTACAATTAATTGATTAATCTATCTTTTATTATAAAAAGAGGATAATGTGACAAAAGTTGGCCTGGATTCAATGCTTAGTTCACAAAGCCAAAGATGTTCCATTGTCTAATCCTACCTTAACCTCCTGCTTCTGCACAAGGTAAGGGCATCACAAATCATAATTTCCTTTTTTTTTATTTTTGCGATAATTTTGATTTGATATAGCTTTTTTGAATAAAATCGACTTGCTTAAAAGAGTACAAGTTGAATATATACACAATGACAATGTAAGAATAATGTACAATTTTTTCTTCCACGAACTAGTATGTATTCAATCTGTTTTCCTCACATTTCTAATACAAAATAAAAGTCAATTCCCACTTTCACTAATTTGAGCGTATTTGTCACTATCATTTTCCTTTCTTCATGCAAAACTTGAGTTGTTTTGTGTGTTTTTTTTAAAAATTTCGAACTAATCATGAATATATATATAATCAGATCATATTTACATTGTCTATACGAGGTAATATTGAGGTGTCCGTTTCTGTATTTTTAGTGTATTATTAATTTATTACTCATTACTCATTAGAAGTGTGGCAGCAAGTAATTGGGCCATTAATCTTCTTTGTAAAAAAAGTATTTGGGCCACACTTAGCCCAAATGTATCGGTCGGCACGAGCCCATGAAAGCCCAATCAAAGACCTTCCCTAGTTCCCTTCGAAGAGTCTGAGGAGTGAGGATCCTGAATTCCTGATCTGGTCTCTGGGTCTCAAACTCGGCGACCGTCCTCCCCCCCCCCCCCCCCCCCCCCCCCTGACACGCCGGAGCTTCCACAGTCTTGCCGGAAGTGATGCTGACTATACAGAGAACAATCAGGGAGATACACACAAACGTCGTTGCCCCAAGGCTTACAAGATTCACTCTTCGAGCGCCCAAGAGGGTAAGCTCCCAATCCTTTTTTTATGCTCATCGGGCCCGGTTTCGGTTCAATTCAACCCCAACCTCGACAATGTCGACATTTTTTGTTCGATTTGAAATTCAGTGATGAAGCTAGGATCTTTCGATCCAGATAAGTGTCCAGATGGCTTTACTCGCTTGAAATCCTCCTGTGTTCTTTGAAGTTCCCTGAATTCTGTTTCTTTTTCTGGCTGGGATCATGAGAACGGTCGATTGGCTGATTGATGGATGGAACATTCACCGTAGCTGGAAATGTAGCTAATGCCTAACTTAGAGATGAAATTACTGTTCGCCTGAATTTAAACTCGATTCCAGGTAGAGGTGGAGTATGACAATGGTGACAAGTTCAGCCTGTCAGCTGAATTTCTAAGAATACACAGCCCAGCTGTGGATGGCAAACTTAGGTCCATTGGTAGTGAGAAGGTATAAAACTTTGATCAAAGTTCACTGTCTATCCCCATTTCCAGTGATTAGTACTCCTGATCGCTGTTCATCATTTCAACAGGTGATATCAGGGCGGCGTCATGTGGGAATCATGTCTGCAGAACCTGTGGGAAACTATGGGGTAAGGTACTCCTGCAAACTGAGACCAAACAAACCTTTACACCACTGTGATTTATCCCTTCCCGTAGACACTTTAACTAATGCTTTTGAACACTATGGCTTTCAGAATAGTGTTTGATGATCTGCACAAGACTGGAATCTATACTTGGGACTATTTCTTTCACCTTGGGAGCAACAAGTTCTCTCTCAGCAAAGACTATATCAGGACATTGAAGAGGCATGGACTCAGTCGCGATCCAGGAAGGAGAAGAAGCTTTGCTGGCTGTTCATCGTCACCGCCATCATCCTAAGCTGACTTTTGATTCTTTTGAATATGGAAGGCAACTCTCTCAGAGCTTGGTCCATGGACTGAAAGTTGTCAGACTTTTGTGGGTCTTCTCACTTATCAGCACCAACTTGACAGCAGTGCTTGATACTTTCAAACCCACCATCTGGTTCTGTATCAAATGTTTCTGTAAAGGACAGTTGTATCAGAAGGCAGAATGGCTTGTTTCATGGGTTGTCCTCTCAGTTAGTCAAACTTGTATGTGGCATGTACCATTTATGATAAGAAGAACTAATCCAATTGTGCTTCCTTTGGGGATGCATTCGTCTGACGTTACGACTTACGTATAGTCCATTATTATGTAGTGAAGATATTGGCGTATACAGTTTTCCTTCTGATGGTGTGACCAATGATTTAGGTAATCGTATGATTGAGTAGGAAGTAGCCAACAAAATTTTGATAGGTAGTAAGGCTCAACCCATAATCACATGATCCATTGACGCGACGGAGCACCATCTATCCCTGTTTTTTGGATGAAATTCAAGCGGGCCTCTTGAAGTTTCGACCCGTTTCTGGACAAATATGGGCCGCTGCGGGGAGGCGCAGCAGTGAGAGAGAAGTCTAGAAAGGGCAAGAGACAGTAAGAGAAGTCTAGAAAGGGCCATTTGCCAGGCCAGCCACCCAAGTTCGAGAAATGTCTCGTTGATCCTTACTATTTTCAATATGTATATATAACCATCTCCTTAAGGCTCTATAGGAACAACACATTTGAGTTCAACTGAAGAAACCACAGCACAATCAAATACTTCAAGCTTTACACAATGGCTTCACAACTGCACATCTGCACACCATTCCCCACTTTTTCTACCGAGAGACTCAGCAACAAACTCTGCTTCCCCAAGCTTCCATGGCCAGGCAACAACAATGGCAGAGGAACTGCTCGCAATGCGGTCAAAGTTATGGCCGAGAACAGAGACAACCTTGACAGTTTGCAAAGAGTTGGCAATCAACAACAGCCCCAACCAAAGAAAAGTCAGCAGGTTGCAGCACCTACTGGTAAGCTAACTAGCTCATTTGACATCTCGTATAACTTTCAAATGCTCACAACTTTTCCCTTTGTAACTCCTGTTTTCAGTATGCTGAACTGAAGTTTTTATTTTCCTGCAGGGCTGTGGGATGGGTTTCCAGCAGCAAGGACAATGCAGCAGATGATAGACACAATGAACAGGATCATGGATGATCCCTTTTCCTACAGCAGTGGCTTGTGGCCTACTGCGATTTCTCCGGTTCAGGGAGATGGGTATGGAAGGGGAAGGACGCCTTGGGCAATACAGGAAGGTGAAAACGAGTATGGATTGAGGTTCGACATGCCTGGCATGACGAAGAACGATGTCAAGCTGTGGGTTGAAGACAATATGCTGGTTTTGAAGGGCGAAAAGGTCCTGGATAAGGATGGAAATGGTGAGGCTGCTGAGAGTGGTGAAGATTGGCCGAGTAAGAGCTATGGCAAGTACAGTTTCAGAATTGCTTTACCAGACAACATCGAGTACGAGAAAATTAAGGCGGAAGTGAAAGATGGGGTGCTGTATGTCACCATTCCTAAAGCCAGTATCAGCCGCAAAGTCATCGACATTGATATAGTTTGAGAGAGTTCAATAGCTGAGAGATCTAAGTTTGTCTTTGTAAAAATTTATAATCAGAACCTCACATGCATTTATGTAAACATCTACTACAGAAGATATAGAGAATGAACATTCTCAATATTTGAACTATCTCAATGAGTATCACTTTAGAAGGTAAATAAGAAAGCCAGCAAGAAAACACCTGCAACAGTTAATCAACTTTGTTTCTTCTGTCCACTTTTGGTAATCCGCTTCAGCCCTTGGCCGCCTCTTTTCATGCCCCTGCACCATCAACAATGGCACGGTATCAAGCCACTTGCCGACATAGGAATCAAGGTCATCAATGGAAGTTGGCAAATTGACTATACCTTTCATACAAGTACAAGAAGAGGTAGAAGAGAAATATCAGAAATAAAACCAGGACTGAAGCAACTATATAGAGCACGTTCCTCTTCTTCTGCAAGTTTTGAAAAACGAGATGAAAAATCTAGGTGAGCAAAACAAGGAACGAACATTAGTTAACCAGGGAAATGAAAGCTGAAAACTAACTCATATGTACTCAAGAAGGTATATTACCTTGCCTCCTCTTGAGAACGGCTTCCGGCCTCCCTTGCAAGTGTGGGCATCACAAAATTGCCGTAAGAATAGATCTGTCCAGCCACAAAGCATCATAACATAATACATCATTATCCTAAAGCAATACATTTACATATTTACATGAAACAGATTCCGAGGTTGCATTGAAATATCACCATTGAGACGACGAGCTGAGGGGCCATCCTGGACTGGAAAGCAGCGATCAGCCAGGCTCTGCATATAATATGATATTGATGAGATGAACGGCTCAACAAGCAGTGAAGTTGTTGTACAAATGGTTATGGTCATGTAACCACAAAGAAGCTCACCTCACAAGCATGCTTATTCCTTGCTGCAGCTGCTGGATTGCACTTTGTCTTGCGTAAGGAATCCATCACGAGGTCACAGTGTAATGAACCACATGAATCTGCCAAGCACCTGCCGGGACTCTGGGTTCAGTACAAGTATGACATCTGTCATTCAGAAGCCATGTTTGAAACAAAAGGTCCGGCAGATGAATGTTTGATTCACTAAATGAACAAAGACAAGATTTCTCAAAGATTACAGTGAACAATCCTCTCCCAGAACAAACTGTTGATATATGACTGAGGAAAATGACTGAGGAAAAGTTCCTTTTCTGCGATATTACGGATTCAGTTGGCAGGACTTAACAGCTATCTCAATCTAAGTGGCCAGGGAAGAACCTCCTACGACCTACTCACAAATTCAAGGAAATGAACTTCATGGTAACATACCGTATCTAAGGTGTCAAAGTGCCACTCATCTAGATGCTTGTCCAGATTTTTCTCTTCATAGAAGGTCTTTTTGCAGTACCCACATCGCCATAGGTTGATATCTTCACGGGCTTTGCTCTGTTCTTGGAGACGGTAGAGGTCATTCTCAGGGTGAAGTGGGCACTTCTTTGGAATGTGGTGCTTTTCCTTCTCAACAAAGGGGATCAAGTACTGAAAACAAACCAACCATCACAAAGATCAAAACATCTGGTGGAAGTTCATAGAAATAACACAGGCTTTCTATCGGATTACCTGCTCGATAATTTTCCGCGCAGCCCTGCTCCGCTCTCTCGAACAATGCACCTCATGAGCATGCCCTTTCTCCTCCTCTAGGGTTCTGAGCATCAATCAACTCTGTGTAAGAACACATTGCCAAAAGAACTAAAGGTACAAGCTTTCATGGTCATTCCAGCTAACAGAGTGGTCTTGGACACCAAAGAAGATTGTTCATCCAATACCAAAATGAAGGCGAATTCCAGCAATCTACGTAAACTTTACCTTACAACAGCAGATTCTTCATGACCCTGGGGGAAATCAGCAAATTACCAAACAATTCAGGACAAGTTTTGGGGCAACGATCAAGAGCAAGAAACGCAGACAAAATGACAACATTTCGATTCCTCAGTACCTGAAGCGGGGCAGTGGAAGAACAGGTGCTTCTGGATTGCGAAGAGATTGAGATGAATAAGAAGAAGAGTACAATGGCGGATCTTAGCGAGAAATTCGTCATATCTCTATCTGGGCATGTTTTGACTCCTGGAGGGAAGATCCCACCGCTTTCAAATCTTTAAAGATCGAAACTTTATCACTCACTGATGGGATAATCGATTGGCTTCGGACTTCGGGAGGAAGAACGAAAGAAAGAAGAAGAAAGGACTAGACTTCTGTTCTTGCCTAGCAGGCGAATCAAAGTGCTATAATAATTATTGAATTGGTCACTAGACTTTTGGCAGAAAACAAATTGGTACTCAAAAGTTAGTTTAGTGATTAAATCATGTAAAGTAGTAAGCTTAACTTGCTTATGGGTCAAAAGTTAGGTAATCAGAGAAAATCAGGGTGGTAAAAGTAATAATTGCAATTAGACTGTGATGGTCCAATGTTAGAGAAAATCATACTCATATATTATAGCTTAGCTCATTGGTAAATGATAAGCATGATGAATCATCACTAAGATGCCCGACTACATTGTTGCTATTGACTTTTAAGCAAGTGACAACGTCGCCGTTTCTGGTTCTCCCTCCATGCTCTGCTCTGCTGCCTTCCACTTAGGGGTGGAAATCGGTACGGTATCGGTATCCCAATACCAAATACCGAAATCCCGAATACCGAATGACACCCTGAAATCAATCCCAATCCCAATCCCTAAATAATTTCGGTATCCCAATCCCAATCCCTAAATATTTCGGTATCCCAATCGGTACCTCGGTATCCCAATCGGTATTATCAAATACAAAATTAATTACCTTCGGAATTAATAATTAAATATATAAATTAGATTTTATTGTTTAATTTAGGTTAAAGAGACTAAGCAAAGAGTCTTGAGTTGCCTAGAGCTAACATCTCAAGTTTTTGTAATTGGTAATCTTTAATTTGATGAATTTGAGGCTGAGAGACGACTAATATTAGTGTGAAATAGTGATGTAATGATCAATGTATAATTAAATGACACTCTTGGTGGTTGAGGGTCGCGTAGTAGTGAATGAGAGAGTCTAGTTGAGAGGATAAAATACACACTAGCTTATATTTCGGTATTGATCGGTATTTCGGTATATACCGATCCCAATCTCGTAATCCCTAATACCGAATAAGAAATGAAACTCAATCCCAATCCCAATCCCACAAAATAATACGTGTATTCGGTAATACCAAATATAGACAAATTCGGTACGGTATTCGGTATATCCAAAATACCGGTACCAAACTTCCAGCCCTACTTCCACTACAGTCTACAGGTGCTGGTGTTTCTCTTTCAGACAGGCAGCTAAGGGAAGAGAACAAAAAATTCTCAGATTCGGTTCTGAATATTTATATTGCTTCTTAAATCTCCAACAAGTCTAAACCCCCAAATCCTTTCGAAAACTCAACAGCTCGAAGGAAAGTAATCATTGCTGGTGAACGCACCCGAGGGAGGAAGAGATTATTTTTATGCCACTTCCTCGCCACTGTCCAACCATTTCCCTTTTCCACTACCGCCTGCTCCCAAAAATAACAATTCTCAAATGTTTCTCTTTGACTTACTCCAACCTTTCTCCCCAGTCAACGAAATTTAGATCACACCCACTTCGATTCAGGGCTTGAATTCGAGCTGCAATGGCTAAAGTCGACGCCTTGATCACGTTTACCCTGATGGGTTTGTTGTTCGTTGTCGCCGTTGTCGAAGGCGGGTCGCCAGTGGGGAAACCGGGGTACAGGATCCACACTTTGTTCTCCGTAGAGTGCCAGAACTATTTTGATTGGCAGACGGTGGGACTAATGCACAGTTTCAGAAAGGCCCGGCAACCGGGACCCATAACACGACTCCTGAGCTGCACTGATGAGGAGAAGAAGAGTTACAGAGGGATGCATTTGGCGCCCACTTTCCAAGTCCCTTCCATGAGTCGACACCCCAAAACTGGTGACTGGTGAGCAAAAAAGTTCATCACTTTGTGTTTAATAGCGTCCTTAATGAATCAATTTGCTTGCCATTTAGATGTAAACTCTTACTGAGAAATTAGTAATGTGAAGTTGGCCTTACTGGGAAATTAGAAATGATGAGTTTTGTGTCATTTGTTTGTACTTTTGTGGTTTATAGGTACCCAGCAATTAACAAACCTGCTGGAGTTGTACATTGGCTTAACCACAGCGAGGAAGCTAAGCATGTGGATTGGGTGGTGATTTTAGATGCAGACATGATCATTCGAGGGCCGATTATACCCACAGAGCTCGGTGCTGAGAGAGGAAGGCCAGTGTCTGCATATTATGGGTACTTTCACACTTAACCTTGAACAAGCTTAAGAAGATTTTGGTTTAGGAGTACTAGTTTGGGTACTGCTTGATGATGATGATGATGATGATGATGATGAGTGCAATCTATCTGGCTGCAATGGAACACTTCATTGACTTGAAAGGCTTGCTTGATCGATAATTTTCGTGTATGGATGGTAACGTGGTAATAGTAATGGCGAAACAAGAATGGCGTTCTTCTGTCTTCAGCATATGCATTATGTTCTTTTGTTCAAGTTCAGAGTTATATGGTCTGAGTCACTACCTTTGCCAGCAATTCTAGTTGCAAGATCAATCAGGTCTTTCCTTTATCATCCTTTTGGCATCAGGTTGAATAGAGGTCTTACAATAAACTTTACTATTCCAGATACTTGGTTGGATGTGACAATATACTAGCCAAAATCCACACAAAGCATCCAGAACTCTGCGACAAGGTTGGTGGGCTTTTAGCTATGCACATAGATGATCTTCGTGCATTAGCACCAAAGTGGCTTGCTAAGACAGAAGAAGTGCGTGAAGATAAGGCTCACTGGAGCACGAATATTACCGGTGACATCTATGGGAAAGGATGGATAAGTGAGATGTATGGCTACTCATTTGGTGCTGCTGAAGTAAGTTGGATGAGTTGCTGTCTTATTTTCCTTTTGCATCGGACCTTCAATTCTTATGTCGTATCATTTTGTTTTTTCCCCCTGCGTTTATAGGTTGGACTTCGGCATAAGATCAATGACGACTTGATGATCTATCCTGGATATATTCCACGCCCCGGTGTCGAGCCAATCCTGTTTCACTATGGCTTGCCATTTACTGTGGGGAATTGGTCATTTAGTAAACTGCAGCATCATGAAGATGATATCGTTTATAGATGCGGCGAGCTCTTTCCTGAACCTCCATATCCCAGAGAGGTACATGAACAGAGTAATGACAAGGTTTTGAACTATTTGGCCTTGTTCTACATATAGGCTTCCTGCTGAACCCTATATGATCTTGGCATTTCACAGGTCTATACTATGGAATCTGAGCCGAATAAGCGACGGGCATTGCTTCTGAGCGTAGAGTGCATGAACACTTTGAATGAAGGGCTTGTATTAAGGCATGCTGCAGATGGATGCCCGAAGCCAAAATGGTCAAAGTACTTGAGCTTCTTAAAGAGTAAAACTTTTGCTAATCTTAGTCGTCCCAAAATTTTCTCTCCTGGTGTACAGAAAACTATGGAAGCCGGTGAAGATCAGCAGCCACTCTTTGGTGAAACTATGAAACCACATCCAAAGATCCACACAGTTTTTTCGACAGAATGTTCACCCTACTTTGACTGGCAAACTGTAGGTCTTATCCACAGTTTCCATCTCAGTGGCCAGCCTGGAAACATAACACGACTTCTCAGCTGTACTGATGAAGACCTTAAGCAATATAAAGGTCATGATTTGGCTCCTACTCACTATGTTCCTTCCATGAGCCGGCATCCACTAACCGGTGACTGGTAAGCTAAATATTGTGGCTGCACCTTTCAAAAGATAGCAGTTTGCTGTTTGGTTCCCTTGTGTAACGATAATGCAGAAAACCAACAGAAGAAGCTCTCAAGTGCTAACTGCTGATGATTTTGTGTTGCATGACAGGTATCCCGCAATCAACAAACCTGCTGGTGTCCTTCATTGGCTTAATCACATGGGCGACATTGATGCTGAGTACATAGTTATTCTTGATGCTGACATGATTTTGAGAGGTCCAATTACACCGTGGGAATTCAATGCATCTCGTGGCCACCCAGTTTCCACTCCTTATGAGTAAGACTCAGACTCATGGCTCATTGCCACCATACCACTTCTGAAAGAACTTTTGACACGTCCCTAACATATACTTGGAAACTTGTTCTTCAAGGTACTTGATTGGCTGCGACAATGAGCTTGCGGAAATGCATACGAGCCATCCTGAATACTGTGACAAGGTTGGGGGTGTAATCATCATGCATATTGATGACCTCAGGAAGTTCGCTATGTACTGGCTACTTAAGACGGAGGAGGTTCGTTTCGATAAAGAGCATTATGCCACAAATCTTACTGGAGATATATACTCATCTGGCTGGATCAGTGAGATGTATGGCTACTCCTTTGGTGCAGCAGAGGTAATTGATTACTTTCCACGAAGTTCTTTGTCCACATGATATGATGAATCTCATCTTGCATATATTCACAATATGTTGAGAACCAGTCTCTGAACTAGATTCGTTCTTTGTATGTGCAGCTAAAACTACGCCATGTAGTGAGCCGGGAGATACTGATATACCCGGGATATGTCCCCGAGCAAGGTGTGAAGTACAGAGTGTTCCATTACGGTCTAGAATTCAGTGTCGGAAACTGGAGCTTCGACAAGGCCAACTGGAGAGACAAAGACATCGTGAACACTTGCTGGGCCCAGTTTCCAGACCCACCCGATCCATCGACTCTTGATCGAACCGACGAGAACATTTTACAGAAAAACTTACTCAGCATAGAATGTGGGAAGAAGTTGAACGAAGCCTTGATGCTGCATCATAGGAAGAGAAACTGCCCTGATCCCAGCAGTCCCATCTTAACTTCGCCCAAGCTTGAAACCAGAACTTCAAGGAAATTTGGCAAGATCGAGGAAAAACCAAAAACCAGCACGGTTCCAGTAAGGTACACCCAGGAGTTGTCTCAAGCCGATCAGAACGATGGCCATTTCCGGTCTTTGAAGGTCTGGGTGGTTGCTCTATGGGCATTTTCTGGTTTGGGATTTGTGGTAGTCATGACCATGGTGTTTTCAGGTCGTAAAAGTAAGGGAACGAAAGGTAAAAGCAGTAGAAGTAGGAAGAGACATTCGAGTCAAGATAGTTGGACATGAGTTAGCAGAGTTCAAAGAGGATTTTTTCCCTTTTCACCACTACTATACATATTCCGACGAGAGAGAGCATGACACTGAATGTGGAGGATATTCTGGCAAAATGCACAAAGATTTTGGTAATTTATACCACACTGATGAGGATAATGACAGGGAAGAAACAGCATACAGAGCTTATGTACAATTCGTACTTGCATTTGTTGTATTGCCTGTCCGAAAGTTCGGAGCTTTGTGCAGAAGAGTTCTGCTGGAACCTCTGTACTGCTCTTATAAAACTGGAGGGTGACAAGAGAACTTGGAAGGAAGAAACTGAAGCAAAAATTGAGCTGATAGGGGATTCTGTTCGTCTTCACTATTTCTCCAACATATAACCAACAAGTTGTGAATTCTGGTCTTCTTTACCATATTTTGTATTGATTGATCCATTATTAGTAATGCATATGCCCGAAAATTTGTACTACTAGTTGAATTTCAAACAACTACCAATGATTGATTTTGGAGAGAATTAATGTAAATAAGCTTTAGTGTTCTTAGGCTACTTAAAAAGAGTTAATTTCTAGGCAAAATTGTTTAGTGCACAAAATGAGAAGAATAGTTCAAACTTCTAACTTCACCAAAATTGTGCCTTGTAGGCTTCCATGTAAGTGACCAAACAACACACTACTTGACCAAAGGCAAAAAGCAAAAAGTCGGTCACTTTGAACCTTTTTTTTTTTTTTTTTTGGAGGAAACGTCAAACAAAGACATTACTTTTCGTCCAGCAACCACCCTCTCCAAATTCCAATCCCAGCTCTTCTTCCTTCCTCAAGCGGACTTCCAACTCCAATTCAGTAGGAAGACGCGATGCCGAACTGGGAACTGCAGAACTGCTGTCAGAAGGACCAGGTCACCTTCTTGGTCACCATCGGCGTCTTTTCCCTTGTTATCCTCGCGGTAATGCTTCTTCCAAATCTTAATTCGTAAGTTTCAAGTCAGACTAAGTCAACTCCGTTCATGATTCCCGCCACTGCCATTTAGTCTGTTCGCTTAGAAAATGTGTTTATCAGAGTTTGTTTCCGCTGGATTTCCAACCGATCCACTCTTTCTATCACTGAGTTTGAGAGTTTTGTGGGAATTTGATTTTTCACAGCTATGGCGGACAGTACTGCTAACGCCTTTCAAGCTCATAACCGTGTTTATGCACGAAGCTAGTCATGCCATTGCTTGCATCCTCACTTGTGGGAAGGTTAGAAATTCTTTCCCACCCCGTCCTCCGGTGTATTCCTTTTTGTCATGATGATGATGTTCATCAAGCTGGCGAGTAGTTTATAAGTTTCTTGGATCAAGCATTTGGACTGCCTCTCTGTTTATCGATTACGCTTTGCTCCAAAGACATAATCTTTCAAGGCAGTTTAATAGAACTAGACTATTTTCGTGTTAGATGTCGTCCCGGTTAAGAATCAACCATGATAATGATTTTGTAATTTACTTATGTCGTACATTTATGCTGATCTAATCTTATGTTCATGGGCTCCAAAGCTAGAACAGTGAAATTTGTCTCTAAGAACACCCAAGCTGTTTGTATCACTTGATCATTTCTTTGTTTACTGGTTGGACCATTGTTGAGCAAAGGGATTCAACTGCTTATTGATCTCCAGGTGGAAGGGATTCAGGTTCACGCCAATGAAGGAGGCGTGACTCAAACACGTGGTGGCATATATTGGCTGATCTTACCTGCAGGATGTAATTCACTTTTCCTTTAAATCATTGTTATTTTACTATTGCTAGACATGGTTTTCAAGGAAGATATATTGAAAATGTCATGGTCAATTTACGCTAATGTAACAAAAGCGGCAACTAATGCATTCGTCACTTTAGGGCAAAGTATTCATATCTATGCAAGTATGCATACATGTGTTTCTTAGAAAAGCTTAGTGAAGGTAGAGAGATGGGAACGAGGAAGGAGGGGGTGGAGTTCTGGAAATAGAGATGAGCTAAGTGCAGATAGCAGTTCACACCCTGGATATTAGATAAAACTAGGTGATTCATACTAAAAGAAATATCTTTTGATATGTGACCATTAGATACGGAAGGGAAGTTAGACTTCTCTCAAGTTCTATATTCATTTAGGTTGAGGAGATAAAACTTAGTAACTTACATGAGCCGATATGAAGAAAGATGTATAATGTGGATGTGCCATGGTTCATTGCTTGCACATGGAATAATTGGATCACAAGTCAGCACATTTGGCTAAAGGTTGGTGTTTTGCTAACTGAAGGGAAGAATGAGTTTGAGGTGATTTGATGGACATGTTTGCTGGATAGCAACTTCTGCTTCTCTAAAGAAGGTAACACAAGAAGCACTTCCGTTTCAGCTGGCAAAAGGGCCCTATTCCACAATAGTAGAAACTTCCAATAGGACTTTGGGTGCAATGAGTAAAGGATGCAAAAGCTGCTCCTAGATCCTGGTACTATTTGTTCTTTGCTTCTTGTTATTCTATTCGTTCTCCTCTTTCCTCTTATGAAACTAAATGGTGATGCTTGAGCAGCAAGCTGTAGGACACATTGCTGAGGATCAGCTCAAGCTTCTCTACTTCAGTGCAATGTTTTCTCAAGTCTGTGGTTCATTAGAGCAAGGTGTAGGTGTTAGTGCCCCAAGTTTTCGGGTATTAAGATTCCTATGGTGCATGCATGGTCACAAGTATTTTGTTGCATGATAATTTCTTGATATATAGTTTACCGAGAAGCCAGACTTGTCCGTATTTGGAAAAGAGGACAGGATGGTATTCCAAATGTTGATTATTATTATTTTTCTGTACTTTGCCCGCAGATCTTGGATCTTCATTTTGGGGAATGCTTTTGATACTTGCATCCACCAATCTTCTTACTGCAAGAATTGCTGCTGGTTGTTTGGGTCTTGCGCTACTCATAGTGCTGTTTATTGCCAAGAATGTAAGTGAAGAAATCTATCATCATTCCACTTAGCCCCTTGCCCTTTGGTGGCTTTTGTTCGTTTGTAAATATTTAATTGATAGATCGTATCCTTTAAAGTTTCGCATTCTCACTTTTCTGCATAATTTTCCATACAGTGGACGCTTCGAGGACTTTGCATTGGTGAGGGCTCTATCAGTTTTTGTACAAAATATCCTATCTGCACGAGTTATGAACATTCTTTGCTTTTCTGAGATGTTTACTCTAACAAGTTTAAATGTTCAGGATTCATTGCGTTTCTTGCTATCATTTGGGTATTACAAGAATACACCAAAGTACGGATCCTTCGATATGTTATTCTCTTCATTGGTATAAGCATCCATATCAAGTTTTCCTTTCCCCCCCTCTTTTTCAATTAAGTAGCTTGTACTTGGCCCTTCCATCATCAAAGTTAGTTAGCTGATTCTACCACCTTATTCCCCCTGCAGGTGTCATGAACAGTTTGTTTTCAGTTTATGGTACGCATCCCATGGTTCTTGTATTACCCTTTTTCCATGACTTATTGAGCATTCATTAAGGTTTTCTAGTCCTCAACGCAAAAATTGGTTGGTCTGCAGACATATATGACGACCTAATATCTAGAAGAGTCAACTCTAGCGATGCTGAGAAGTTTGCAGAACTCTGTCCTTGTCCATGCACAGGTGTTGGATGGGGAATGATCTGGTGAGTCCTGTCTCTTTAACGAACTAAAGTAAACCATTAGGGTTACTGCATCCTAAGTCGGCAAGAATTCTTATGATTCCTTAGTTGCCTGTATGATGACTCATTGACTGCTTCACCTTCCTGACTACTTGTAGGGGAATGATATCATTCTTGTTTCTCTGTGCATCTATATACCTAGGGCTCGTCATCTTATCTTAAGGTACAGTTTTTCGTCACCATAATGATTTCTGGAAGGTGGCAGCTGCTCAACTAAGCATTTCTTCCCTTTTCTCTATCAGGTTCAAATCGAGGATAACTGGCTTACTTCGGCATTTGTTCACTGTGGAGAGCATTCTGTAGAGTTGTATTGTGTCCATGCCCAGGGCTTCATTCTTTCGACCCTTTGTGTTTCTGGGGGGTCGACATTTGAATACTCTGATATGATTGGTGTGTATAGGGTGGTGTCCAATGTGCTGAACTTTTTCCTGGTTGACCTCAACAGATTCTAGGCTACTCACTTCACGGTTAGCACAGGAATCATACTCATTCTTAGCCTTGTGTAATGGACTTGAGCACTTCTTCATCTTCTTGGTCACTGACCCTTTTTCGCTTCAAATGGTATTTGCTTACGTTGTGAACATGATTAGCTAGGCAAACCATCTTACTTATTTTCATTCAGACAGACGATACTGCACAAGTATCTCTTCATTCTTGAGTTGCCCCACAAGCAATCCCGGCTACACCTTAGCCAAATTGTCAAAGGAATTGTTATGACAACTTTCAAGCATGAGTGGGGTTATGATTCAAATTTGATCAGGTGCAATATGAGTCTAACATCCCAACTGGATAGAGTATTGTTGAGAGGGTAATACGAGGAATAGGGTAGTGTTTTGGGGGTTCCCAAAAGCATGATTAGTGCAAAAGAGAATCTTTAAAACTTTGGGACTAATTGACCTAGAGCCATGAGCATAGATTTGTCTCCCTAGATTTAAACACAAACTTAACAATCCGGACGTTGAAAGGATTCCTTATGTCTTCTCTCCCATTCTTATGTCAACAATGGTGGGCCACTTAGTGGTGGTTAAGCTCCCTTCTCATTAGGAAAATATGAGTAATTAATCATGAGTTTGGGGTAAACTGCATCAAGTGTCACCAACATAGCATACAAAAATGAGCATGGTCATCAAATTAGAGGAAAGTGTTTTGGAAATCGTAGGATGAATGAATTGAGTTAATCTAATTTTTAAAGATAAAATTAATTATACGCTCGTCCTATAAAAAGATAATTTAAAGTAACGATCGTAACTCGGTGTAAATTATGGAGCGTTCAGACAATTAAAACATACCGTGTTAGATTTAAGAGGAAAAACATTAGTACAATCGTCCTGAACAATAAATCAAATTATATTGTCTTAAGCAATCAAAATTAAAGGTACTAATCAAAATTAAAACTATCTCTTTTCCACTGTCCTGAACACCTTGTTTGAATAAAAAGAAAGCTGGAAAAGCTTTGCTTCCACATCATCATCACATCCACCACGACCAGGCTCCTTTTCTATTTTGTGTGGTGCCCTCTCCTCTCTTGTTGCCTTGTCCCAACCCAATACAACCTTTTTCTTGCACTTCCCCTCGTTTTGAAATTCAAAATTTTTAAACGGCTAACCACCATTCCCATGAGAAAATCTCATCGTACCAAAACGACATAATAAAAAACCATTAATGAGGTTCAAGTCCAACATTGGGCAACTTTGAGGTTTCCCAAATTTACTCATCACCCACAAAGCTCCAAACCCCACAGCTCTCATGGGGGAAACAGTTACCTGTCTCATGCAGCAGCAGCCATTCTCTTACACTGCAGGCATCTCCAATGAAGCCAAAGAGGTATGTTTCCTCTGCCACACTTCACTTCTTCTTCTTCTTCTTCTTCTTCTTCTTCTTCTTCTTCTTCTTCTTCCATTTCTGTCTGCTAGGTTCCTCATGGAATCAATCTTGGTAAGGGAAAAAGAAATTATAAGGCTTTGACCTTTTATAATGCAGGGGAACTTGATCAGCTCACTGGGGCAATCTGTCTCCTTTGGGAGGTTCACTTCAGAGTCTTTGTCATGGGAGAAATGGTCGACTTTCTCTAGCAACAAGTATGTCGAAGAAGCTGAGAAATTCTCCCGCCCTGGCTCGGTGGCTGAGAAGAAAGCCTTCTTCGAGGCTCATTACCGCAATCTCGCTGCTCGAAAGGCCGCCGCAGAAGCTGCCGCTGCTGCAGAAGCAGCTGCAGCGTTGCTTGAGCAGGGGAATGGTGGGGAAATGGAGGAATCAGAACCAAATGAGGTTAATGAACCAAACCCTAGTTTTGGGGTAAAGGTTGAAGCTTTGGTTGATGTTGAATCTGTTGAGAGCAAGGAGGAAGGTAATAGAGATGGTGTTCTTGATGGTGCAGAGCAAATGGAGAAGCCGTTGTTGAAGGTCACGAGAACAAAGTCAAAAGGTTCTGCACGGAAGTCCAATGATTCTGAACCAGTTAAGGCCGATGAAGGTAGAGAGCAGATGGAGAGGCCATTGTTGAAGGCAATGAGAACAAAGTCAAAAGGTTCCGCACGGAAGTCGAATGAATCTGAACCAGTTAAGGGCAGTGATGGTAGAAAGCAAATGGAGGAGCCATTGTTGAAGGTAACCAGAACAAAGTCAAAAGGTTCTGCACGGAGCTCCAGTAAATGTGAACCAAACAAGGCCAATGAACCCAACCCACTACCCGAAAACGAAGCTGTCGAGAGTTCTTGCACAAAGGTAGAAGCTTTGACTGAAGTTGAAGCTATTGAGAGCAAAGGGGAAAGTACAAACCAAATGGAGAAGCCATTGTTGAAGGTAAGTAGAACAAAGATAGAACAGTTTGTACTTTTAGCTCAAGTGGGGATTTTTAGCTTGAGCTTATGTCCAATTTTTTTAGCAGGATTTCATCTCTAATGCAAGTGATTCTGACTCGTTCACCAAGAAGAAGCCTGCAGTTTCTTTCTCAAGCAACTTGGTTGTAAGAAGAAAAGTTCCAGCAGCCAGAAATGAAAGCTTGACTGCTACTACTACTCCAGTCAACAAGAGATCGTCGACACCAAAATCGAGTCAGAATAAGGCCATCAACTTCACTCCTGTGAGAGAGATCAATAGAATAACTTCCACCGTCATCAGGAAGATTGATTGTTCTAGAGCCGTTTCGAGTAAGCCTACGATGGCTAAAGATTATAGCTCATTAGTTTCAACTCCATTCAGAACTCCATCTAGAGAAGAATCTAAGAATCACCCAGAAACAACAACCCCACTGTCAGAATTCTGGGCAAGAACACCTCTTCATCCATCAGCAGCAGCATCAGCCTCTGGAAGCAAGGCAGTTAGGCCAAGATGGCATTTCCTACCTACAGAGTAATAGTCATCCAGCTAGAATGAAGCCCCATTTTTATTGAATGAATAACCAAAGATTTACAAATGAAATATGTTTCTTTTATGGCAGTTGCTCGAAGTTTATGAGTGGCAGCAGAAACAAATCCCAGCAGTCACCATGCTTTCCTACGCCTTTCAGCTTGAGAACAGAAGAAAGAGCTGCAAGACGAAAAGGGGTGAGCTTTAAAGCAAGTTCAGTATGAAAGATTTGAGTTTCCAGGTGGCTTTGATTGAAATTTTCCATCTCTTTGTACACTTTTGGAATTTGGATGCTTTGTTACAGAAGCTGGAAGAGAAGTTCAATGCTAACCAAGCTCAAAAGGTTCAGTCACAAGCAACAGTCAAGGTATAGTTATGGCTATACGCCTTCTATAGTCTTCAATATTCGCTATAGGTCTACTTTCATTCAACGGTTGTGCAATTGTAGGAGAAGGCAGAAACAGAAATGAAAAAGCTGAGGAAGAGCCTTTGCTTCAAGGCCAGGCCATTGCCAGGGTTCTATAAGCAAAGAGTAACACCAAAGAACCAGATGGACAAGGTTATAACCGAAAGTTTCCATCTTTCCGCTTAGTAGCTTCACATTTCCCGTTCTGGGGCTAATCTGTGCTCGATTCTGCATGCAGGCTCCACTGACACATCCTTCTCCATCACAAGAACCAGAGACTTCAACTGCAAAAATGGTGAACAATACTAGTAATATTCCACAGATTGTTCAGAGAAGTTCAAGCAAGAACAGTGGCAGAAATGTGAAGAAGAACGACGACAGCTGCAACAATCCACGGTGCCTACGTGCGGGACTGAGAGCAACTGCTGCGGAGAATAGTTGTCCAAATATCCAGCAACAAGCAACCTGAAGATTGCTAGATGCAAGTTCTTTCGTGGGGGGTGAGATCTTGTGAAGCAGGCTTCACAGTATAGAACAGTACCACTGTCCACAGAGAGGGCCAAGCTGACCTTGGTCTGTCATTAACGGTTAACCATTGACCCATTTTCTTTAATCTTCCTTTATATTCTTCATAGAATGAGCTGATTAGTTCTTGTATGTTTTGAACCATGTCATGGTTGAGCTTCTGAAATCTGAATGACTAATGTTGATCCATTGAAAAGAACTTTCTCATTATAATATGCCACAGCTGTTAGCTAGCTTAATTACTAAATGAGAAAGCACAATTCATGGTTCTGGTTGCAACAAGCTTGAGAAAAGATCAAACAACAATCTTTGCCACATTTTCATTGCAATATCATCATCCTCAAAAAAATTCCTTGGTGGGTTACAACAATAAAGATATCGGCTTTGGTTAGAGGTGCTTCTTAGTACGAATAATATTAGAGTAACCAAGTTTGTTGTCTAAGGGTTCTCACAATCATTATCCTGATAATCGCCATCATCACGATCTGCATCAATGGCCAACTTCTCTAACAACCCGGCAACCGAAATCCCACCATAACAATAGCCGGAGTGGAACCGGCTGCCTTCCTCTGCCCAACGAGCTGCTACGCCGTGATTGGACACTGCGTCATGCCACCTCAACTTATGGCTCCCCTTGATGTTGTTCTTTGACTTACCGTTGTGACGCGTCCCGCATCTTCCGATGTACTTGGAGTGGTTGGTAGTGGGCTTGGGCGGGACCGGAGTGAATGTTCCGACGATCAGAGGGGAGCTCGAGCTCTTGATGAGCCGGGCCAAATTTGGTTGGTTTGGGCGGACCGGGTAGGTTCTAACAATTCCATGTTGCCTCCCTTCCCTCTTCATAATTTTTGGATGGAGTTTTGGCCTTGTAAATAGAAGCAACCAACAACTACTGCTTTAACAAAAGAAAAGGAGGGTAAAAAGATAAACAGAGGAGGAGGATAAACAGGGAGTCTGTGAGGACTCGACCCTGATAATATAAGAGTTAGGTGGGTTAGATTAAAGTCTATATACTCTACAGGACTATGAGCCCTTTGGTAATGGTGGATGATTTTGCAGAAATGGATCTATGGCTTTGGTATTTATAATAGCAAGAAAGGGAAAGAGAGAGGAAAGGAGAGACCTTGGGGAGCAAGGATTGCCTTATTAAGGTGGGCGGTGTTTGAAATGAATGGTCTAAAACATAACTTGGTTTCCAAGGTCAACTTCTTTGCAACAACCCATGTAGAATCAAGACCACCACGCCACCAAACTTGGCTTAGCTCCTTTCCTATCTGTTTCCCCATTTTGGTTTTTTTTCTTAGTCAGTGAATTCACATTATTCACCATAATTTAAATTCTTGAATTTTGAATTTTAAAAGCAACTGTAAGAGTATCTATTTTGAAATAATCCGATAATTTCTTCTACTGCTAAGTCGTTGTATGTTTTTAATAGTTTTGGCAATCTTTAAATTTATGACAATTTAAAAATTCTTTGTAGGATAAAGGTGGAGTCAAGTTTTAGAGTGACTTGTGTTAGTTACAATGACATAATCGACACACAAATGCTAGTCAGATCAAGATATGATGAGTATAGCGATTTTATAACGTGAGATTGTGCTATATGTAAGCTTCAATTAAAATTTGGGAGGTTATCAGCTAACCACCTTCATGAAAACTACTAAAACCAAAGTTGAAACAAGTTGGATTTCATATTATTTCCCAATGCATTACTTACAAGAATCGACACCCCTTTACTTAAGAACTTAGAAGTCCAAGACTCAAACATTTGAAGCTTGTGGCTGATGATCATGAGAAGAATCGATAAGTGGATCGTTGTTCCCTTTGTCCGTCGCCTTCCCATTGATACCACTCGTTTTCTTCGGTCGATAAAGAATGTAATGTTGGACCATAAACAAAATGTCGAAGAATATTGAAACCTGCAATGAAAAATTCAAGCAGAACTGACATCTTTAGAAGAAAGCCTTCAACATGATTAACTTAAAAGATATGTTCTGTAAGTTCACATACCAAAGAGAGCAATGTCTTCCCTATGTTGCCATAAAAGTTCACCCAAGAATCTGGAACAGGCAAAGGAAGGTGATTCAATCAACCCAACCTCAGTAAGCCTAAATGGCGAAACGATTGGTTATATTATGATGGAGGGAGGAATGAACAACATACTTTGGTCGATCGATTGTGTAGCCATTTGTCCGTAATTGGCAACACCACCGGTGAAATCAAGCAGAATGTTGCCGATGCTGAACCCCTCAGTGCTTTTCCTCATGAAGTTCATTACTGCCTGTGGGATATACTTGATCACCGTCATGGAGACTTGAATGAAGCTGACAGCCAAATGACAGTGAAACTAAGCATTAATGGCCATAGGCTATGAAGATGCTATGACATGAAAGAGGTTAAGGAGCAAACTTACTTAAAGATGGAGATGAGCCATAGCCAAGAATGGCTAGGTAAAGCAACGAAGACACAGACTGCAGCGAATAGCCATACTACACTGACTATTCCTATCGAGATCTTGGAGATTGTCTGAGTTCCTCGCTGTTCCAAGCAGAAAGAACAAGCTTAGATTAGGCCTGGCCAAAGATGTAGAAGTTTTGAAACAATCCACTGAATGAGAGAATTCAACACCACCTACTTCATAGATGAAGACTTGGAACAGCGTGATTGCAGTCAATACAACCGCGTGTATGGAGAAAGCAACATCATTCGCAGCAACTGGTATCATCTGTAAGAACAATATGTTTTATCTTCATCACAGACTTTGGGGAGAAATAGAAGAGCTAGCTAGCAACAGCATCCAAAACGTTCCAACTTATATTAAACTATCGGAACCCATTCTATTGAAGAATTCCAAAATTCAATCTCCCTAATCATCACAATCGTGTAAATATGTTCTGAATCTCTGTAACCTTAAATTCAATCTCTATATACTCTATATGATCATTCATTCCAAAACCTAAACCTAAACCTAGATGAAGTTTGAGCTAAAGACTGCAAATTTGAGCAAGTACATCCCAAACCCACTACAGAAAACACCAATTAGCAGAGAAAATACAGTGGAAATCTACAAGTGAAGAGTGAAGAGAGTGTGACCTGTTCATAGCCGTACTTCTCGAAGTACTGCTGCTGGGCAGCAGGGCTGAAGTAGAGCACAGTGTTGTATATCAAATACGAAGAGTGCTTGGTCAAATTCAACAGCAGGAAATCCAAGCTCAGCCCCACCACACTACCAGGTCAATACAAACGCAAATCAAAATTCACAGTGAGAGAGATGAAAGATTAGAGAGAAAAAGGAGCTGATAATTTGCTCTGTTTCTTTGATACCTCTTGCGGCGGAAATTCAAGATGACCTGTGGGTAGAAACTGATGGACCATGAGACGAAAGCGAGCCAGCCCAGTGTTTGGTAAGTGATTTCCAGAGGAAATGAATTCCACGACGCCATCAATTTTATCTTTGTCCTATCCTGTGTTGCTCAGTTCCTCTGTGTTCCTGGTTTGGCAGAGAAATCGGCTTTTATATATAGATCTTTACCGTCGGAATGGCGTGAGGGCTCTCTCTCTCTATTTGTCATTCGTTAGTGTCATTTCCTTCCAGGGCCGCCAACCGGTGACAAGAATTCAAGAAAGCATGTGGACGGCTATACGGACGTATTCAACTATCAAGAGTTCTTAGATTGGGGACTAGCAAGCAACGGCCGTTTGTTTGAGGGCCGGTTATAGAAACCGCCACTGAACTTTGGGACTAATTGACAAATTGGTCACTGAACTTCGATTCTTTACCAATGTCTATTGCCACACTACAACTACAACTCTACAAGGATTTTTGTCAAAATTGTTAAGACTTGTGGATCGACTAATCGAAAATATCGGCACAATTGCAAACAAGAGTGATTATTGGGAGAATTGACGGAACATTGAGCTCCAAATCAGTTAATGACTAATGAGTACTAAACAAGTGAATTGTGAGTTTGATTAATACTAGATTTGGAGAAGCATTGAGGATTTGCATTGACAAGCAACTTTGATAAATTAACAAGCATAAGTGATAATGGATGGTGAGTTTGGAAAAATATGCAATAGACATAAGTAAAGTCCAAACTCGAACCACTGGAAAAAGATACAATAGACTCGACACATTAACAATGTTAAGATACAATAGACTCGACACATTAACAATGTTAAACATCAAACATCCGACTAAAGAAATTTGACATAAAAAATAAAATAAGTTTGAGCTTTTGTAAACTTTGGATGAGAAATAGGGCAATTGGAACCACAAGCCGAACTATAGGGGTTAACTATCCTCAAATGTCACAAGCCAAAGCACCAATCTTTCCAGTTCTACTGCCAATGAGGTGCAAGGTCAAGCTAACTTCACAGAACATAGCCATCCCCAAACCTGTATTATTCTGAAGAGACGAGGGACAAAAGTCCCAATGACAACACTTAAATACAAAGAGGATCGATTGAGCAAAATACAATTGTTTGTACAAATTATTTAAAACTACCACAAAACAAGTTTATATCCGAAATAATAAACTGGTCAATGCAAATCCTCAATGCTTCTCCCTCCAAAACTAGTATTAATCAAACTCAAGCAGCAGGACCGCTCATTTGAAGACCCTTGATATTCTGGATCTGCTTCCCAGGGTTCAACCCCTTTGGGCAGGCACGAGCGCAATTCAAGATAGTATGGCACCTGTAGAGCTTGAACTCGTCGTTCACGGCGTCCAGTCGCTCCTTGGTGTACTCATCTCGGCTGTCGCTGATCCATCTGCATTTGTTTCAGAAGAGTTTCAAATATGGTCAAGTTCACGACATACAGCAAGTATTGCGATTTATAATCAATGCAGGTTAACCATAAACCTCAAGTCACAATCCTCAAAGAAATAAAATAATAACAAGCTAACTGCTCTTGTCGCCAAGTTCTGCAATATTATATCATGTCCGGTTTCCCATCTCACACCCTATAGAGCTACGCAATGGATTGCCCACAACAGCAGAACACAGCTTGATCACGGTTACAGACCCTCTAGATTAGTGCTTTAAACTTGAACCAAGCAGCTCAATATGAGTCTTAACAGGGGTTAGAACATATGTTTATATGACCAAACAAAGAGGACAATTGCTTCCAAATCTCAAAGCACAATTATCAAACATAACAACTTGACAGTAGTAATCACCACCAAGGTACAATCAAATGAGCACCAAGATGCATCCCAATTCACACCATTCAGTGCCAATTCCCGGATAGTCTCACAAGCAAATTGCATAGAAAGGACAAACACCCTATATCATTCAATAAAATCTACAGCCTAGCACCAAAACCATCCTAGCAATGAAGAGCGCAAAGAAATGTCCAATCCTAGACAAGAACTGGCTCTTAAATGAAAGGCATAATACTATTCATATGATCCCAAATGTTCCGTATCATATTCAACACATAGAAACATGAACATTAAGCTTCTTTAGCAGAGATGAATATCTATCACCAGCCTACCTATTTGCTAAGCCTGTGCATTTGTATGAGCAACTTCTCTAGACACCTAAAATAGAGCAACCTAGGTCTCACAGCTCTAACACCATGGAATTCGCTAAGCACATGCATTTGCCTACTGAATTCTCTACACAATCTAATCATTGAGCAATGCAATCCCAGTTCAGGCATATCTAATCCACTTCCTCCATGTCCACCAACTAGAACCATCTAACAGTCACTATAACCAAGAGAATCAGAATTTTACCTGTTAGCATGAAGCAGGGCCGCAGGTCCCAAGTACGACTCAGGATTCCACCAATAGCTAGGGCACGAAGTGCTACAGCAAGCACACAATATGCACTCATACATCCCATCCAGCTTCGCCCTATCCTTCTTACTCTGCAGAATCTCCTTCCCTGGATTCTCCGGAGGGCTCTTCCTCTTCAGCCACGGCTCAATACTCTTGTACTGATTGTAAAAATTCGTCATATCCACCACGAGATCCTTAATCACGAACATGTGCGGCAGCGGCGTGATCATCGTCGGCCCAGCGGACGATTCGGGAATCTTGGTCAAGCAAGCTAACCCATTGCACCCGTCGATGTTCATCGCGCAGGATCCACAGATCCCTTCCCGGCAGGAACGTCGGAAGGTCAGGGACGGATCCATCTCGTTCTTGATCTTGATAAGGGCGTCGAGCACCATGGGCCCGCACTCCTTGAGGTCGATTTGGAAGTCCTGAAGCTGCGGCTTCGACGGGTTGTCCGGATTCCATCGGTAGATTTGGAAGGTCTTGACGTCGGTGGTTGGGCGGGCCTTCGGCTCCACCTTCTGTGCCTCCGCCTCGGAGGCGTGAGGGCGGGCCGCCACCAGCCTCGCCGCTGTCGATGGTGACGCCGCCGCCGTTCTGGCCAGAGATACACCGCGTCTCAGTAAGCTGGACGCCATTTTGGGCTGGTTCGTTCTTTTTGATGGATTTCACCTTTGAGGGATTGGACTCAGAGAGAAAGGAAGGATGAGAGGGAAGAAGCGATGCGGGGAGAAGAAAAAGGGAGGGGTAATAAGGTAAAATGAGGCGGTGGGAATTGTGGCGTGTAGTGTGGTTACGTAAGGGAGATTGAATTGGTGCCGTGGATCGGTCCGACTTTTCGTGTTAGGGTGACGTGTCAGAATATAGATCGTAGGTTTTGTGGCCGAATTGGGAGGGTATTTCTCCTACTGTGTGGATGGCGCTGAACTTTTGCCGGTAATTGGATTGGGCAGAGTGAAGAGAGCGTGTGGCGGCCAGACTGCCGCGTTGGGCCCAATCATAAGAAAAGCTTGGTATCTTCGGGCCCAACTGATTCTTCTTGCTGAAAGCCCACTTACGCAGCCCAGAAGGAATAAGAGCATTACGCACCAAAAGTACGCTAGGAAAATAGACCATACCATTTGAAAAACCATGGACCAAATCAGACCGCACAGTTTGGTCCGGACCGTAGATCGCGAAGAATGGTGGTACATTGTCTCTATTATATGAAGTTTTTATCTCTTGGTCTGGTCTGGTTTAGACCGTGATTTATCGGACCAAACCGTGGATCTAGCCGACTTCACAATACATGTTAGTATCCCACTCGACCACTCTCCCAACTCCCCCAACGAGACTCAAGTCTCAACCTTAATTTTGAAAATCTCGTCCCCTCCTTCACTGACAACCACATTTCACTAGAGAACAGAGCTGATCGTGTCTCCATATGACATTACGTTAATGTTCGTGACATTATGGTGCGAGTTGGGATTTTTGACTTTGTATCTTTGTTATTCACTAAGATTTAGGTAGTCAAAATTATTCATGCATGTTGGATTTTATGTTTTAAGGCAAAAAAATAATTTGTCCCCTCAGTTATTTGTTCAATTTTCAGTGTGGTTGACTTAACAAAGTGTTCATTTTTTATTCAATACGATCTGTCTGGATCAGACCGCATAGGCGTGGTCTGGTCTGGACCGTATAGTATGTGGTCTCGGTATCTGATCTATACTTTAGTCTCTCGATCTGGACCGTAGACCGTCTATATGATCTGGTTTAGACCAGACCGCACCATTTTCCAGCCCTAACAAAAAAGCATACTTGGAAATACTCTAAATACATTATATTTTAACAAAAATACACAAAAGCGTATAAAAGTAGACGAGAAAAATGTGTAAGGACCAACATGATTAGATTATTGTCAGCCAAATGGTAACCTAAACTGATTATCTCTACTTTGTTACAAGAATTATTACCAATTTGCCATAAAAAATTATCATAATATAACAACAGATTTGTAGTTCAATGATATCATGTATAATTCAGTGATGGTGTATTCTTTACTATTTTCATGTTAAAAGTGAGATAGAAATTAGGGTTAATATTTTCGTATGGCCTGAACTTTGACCAAAATAAACATCCTGGCCAATCTTTTCGATCTATAACATCCTGGCCCGAACTATACACCAAAATAAACAATTTGGCCAGATCCGACTTTTGACCGTTAACTTTGACGGTCAAACGCGTTGACTAACGGTCAACACGCCACGTCACTGCCAAGTCAGAAGATTTGATAAATATATAATTTTTTCGTTTTTTATTTTTTTGTTTAACTAAGGTATTAGATGATTTTTTTAATTTATAATAATTTAAAATTAGGGAATGTGTGGAAATTGTGAATTAATTTAAATATTTTATGCTGACTTGGCAGTGACATGGCGCGTTGACTAACGGTCAACGCGTTTGACCGTCCAAGTTAACGGTCAAAAGTCGGATTTGGCCAAATTGTTTATTTTGGTGTATAGTTCGGGCCAATATGTTATAGATCGAAAAGATTGGCCAGGATGTTTATTTTGGTCAAAGTTCAGGCCATACGAAAATATTAACCCTAGAAATTAACATTAAAATTTTGAGAAACTTGAATCGATACCTCCAAATTATCAATCATCCAATTGATTCTACTATAACTTTTCAAGTAACTTAACTACATTTAAATCTATTAATAAACCTAATACATATCTCCAAATCTTATGGGTAATTGTGAATTCTGACAATTTGTTTCCCCTCCTCCACCTAATCCTCTTTTCTCAATGGTGCTAAATTTTTAGTGGGGCGATTTCAATTTGCAAGGATTTATGCTCTTCTCCATATTTGTCCTTCCTTCCAAATAACAATCCTTGTTGCATCAAGCTCTCTCCATTGCTGGACAAGATTGTTCTAGTCTTTGGCCTTTTCTTTTTTTCGTTGAACACTTTGGCCTTTTCTTTGTGAAACTACTTGTTGTTGGAGTTTCATCTCATTTCACAATCACCCCCAATTCCCATAATTCTAATCTATCTCTCCCACTGTTGTTTGTTTCCTTCCCCTCCATTTGGTTATTCCATTTTCTGTCTTTTCTTCTTCTCTCAACTCTTCAATTTTGATTCTACACATCTTCACACATTAATTATTAGCCCATTCACCATTTCTCCCATTCCTCTCCTATCTCCATTCACAAAGCAAAAAACCCTCCATTTCTTGAAGCTCTCCTCTCATGGCTCAGGTAATCAACCACACTAACCCTTTCTTCCTCTTTTTCTCCCCCATTTCATGCAAAGATGCAAGAAAATCGACCTCGAAACCTAAGACAATGCACAAATCTATTGAAGCGTGGGTGGAATAGATTGGTTGGCATGTTAAATCACCTCTCCTAGTTCTCTTGCAATCAAGCTCCGATCATTTTTGTTAGATAGTTTCATTTTCTTTCTTTTTTGTTGTATATAGATGTGTTAATCTTATTCGATAATATGGCAAATTGCATGTTTTTTTAATAATATTAAAGCAAGATATAATGCAATGAATTTTAAATATTAGTTACAACTTTGTGGTAAACATGGAATTCATCCTTCTAAAATACTTCTTAATCGACAAAGAAGAGAAATTCACTAGAACAATTATAAACTAAACATAGAAAAGTTTGAATTTTTAGTGGGAATGTGTTGATGGATAGAATGGATCGTGTAATGGGTGTGATTGAATCTCACAAAAGACTTGAACTTTACCAAAGTTTTGAAGTGGATCATCAACAATTTACTATATTTCCTTCTAACTTTTTTTGGGTTTTGGTGGGAGATCCAAATTTTAGCATCAAGAGCCAAGACCATTGCCAAAATTTGGGGAGTGGGATGTGAACAACCCAGCATCAGCAGAAGGGTTTACAGTGATATTCAGTAAAGCTAGAGATGAGAAGAAGACTGGAGGCACAACTGGAGCTTCTGGAGCCGCATCACAAAGGAATAAAACTCCTTCTAAAAAAGATGACCAATATCAAGACTCCTCAACCGTATGAAGAAAAAGAACAACTCTTTGTAACTTTTTCAAAATTTGATGATTTGATAATTATTGTTTCTGATATGTTCTTGGTTTGGTGTGTTTTTGGTATTGTTGTTTTGGTTTCTGTGCAGAAGAAATGGTTTTGTTGTTTCTAGGAACGGAAAAGGGTTCGATTTTGATCTTTGGTGTGTGATGGGTGGATAGAGATGCAAAGATGGGAGAAGATGGAGGATTGAAATTGGATAACTTCTCATTTTGTGGTACTAGAAAAGAAAAGATTGCTGCTGTTTTGGAAAGATTGCAGTGCCTTTCATTAGGGAGATGGAGAAGAAGAGTCATTATCCAATTTTCAACTCCCACTTGATTTTTTGTGTTCAATGTTTATCTGAAAAAAAAAATTCTTATTATCTCTCATATGCTAGCTGGTTGTTTATGTGTAAAATACCATCACAAGCTTTTCTTTTAGGAGTAACAATTATTGAAAGATTTTGATCACATATTTGCCTACTCAACCTTCAATTTTTCTATGAATACATGTTAATGATCTAATCTGATTTGGAATTGAATGAAAAGTAATAACCTTTCAATTCTTCTAGGTGTATACGTGATATTCGGATCGAATACAAACTAAAAGAAAAGAGTATAGGAGAAAAAATTAGATTAAAGTTACATTTTGTTCGAATTTGATTTCAATTGTAATTACTTAATTTTTTAATTTCTCTAAACTATGATAAAGTTGAAATAATAAAAAAATTATTATACGCGAGAATAAAAACTAAGTAGAGAAATGGTACATTGGTTTGATCACATTGGATCTCAATATGTGCTCCCTTTATATTATGGCTGCTAGTTCTGTGCAGGTTTGAATCAATGATTAACCAAGATTACTGGGAATCAAGCAAATTGAAATGGGAAATCAGAAACGTATCAACGTACCATAATATCCAAATGACCATAACACACTAAACAGAAACATGAAATCCAAAGGGGTTCAATCACAAAGGACATATTCCCTCTCACGAACACAAATGCGAGAAAGAGTTCAACAGAGACTCTTGTCCTAAAACCTAAAAACAACTCCAAACTAATCAACAGAACATAACAAAACAAAACAAAAAAACAACCAGAACCCCTCTAAAACTAACTAGAACATGGAAGCAGCAGCAAGGCCAGCCAGACCAACTGCCACAATGGATGAAGAAACTCCACCAAGAGGCAGAGTTACAGCAGATGCAGACTTGTGATGACCATCCGCTTCTCCGCCACTCGAAGGAGGGGCAGTTCCATTGCCATTGCCATTGCCACTGCCAGCATCTTGATCAGTAGTGAGCACCTTGATGATCATCCTCTGCCCTTTCCCACAGTGGCCAGAGACACCGCTGATGAAGTAGTAAGGCCCCGAGTGGTCCAGCTCGTACACCGTGTCCCCCGTGTTGGAGAAGTAACTGGGATGGCTCGAGTTGCAGTTCTTGTAGTCCTCCATGCTCACCTCCATCACCGAGTCCTTCTTGTACCTAAACCCTAAAAAAGAAAGGGGAAAAAAAAACAGAAAATGGATCAAAATGGAGAACATCAATGAACATGGCAGGAGAAACGTGGAGGTTACTAGCTACTTACTGACAGTGTCGCCAATGAGGAATCTGTTCTCAGAAGCCCAGTCGTTGTAGATTCTGGTGTCGTTGGAAGGTGGCACCACCCAGCCTTTGGCCCCGCCAACTTGGTACTCGAATGATGTGACTGTGGTGGTGATGGTGAGAAAGGTACAGAGAAGGCAAAGCAGCAGGCTCTTCTTTGTGGTGTTCATGGCAATGGCAGCCATTGTTGTTGTTTATTCTTCTTGGGATGACAGGAAATTCTCTCGATCTTTGCTAAAGGTGGAGTCTTTGTTCGTTTTCTGAAATGGGTTTCTGAGATTTGGCGTGGTGGGATTTATAGGGGAAGTGGGTTTTCGTGGTGAAGTAGTGGGGAGGGTGGGGAGTTGAGATGAAGGGTGGTGGTGACTTTGTTGCTGAATTTGCTGTTGGTTAGTTACTTGGGAGGGAAGAATGGGAAAATGGAAGTAGTGGGAGAGACTACAGAGAGAAGAGAGACGGTTTACAAAAACAATTTGACTTGGTCAGAAGGATATAATTAGTTAAACCTTGAAAATAAAAGATGAAAATAAAAGATTTTTTTGTCATAGACAAAGAAAATAACAGATTAATGGTAATTAAAATTAACATTTTTTCTTTTAAACTTTAATCTTTTTTATAGAATGAGTTCATTTTATTCATAGCTCGATCATTTCCATCAAAGTTAAGAGAATTCATCATAAAGTGTAGGCTCCATGAGCCTAGCCAGCAACTCCAACCATTGACACTCGAAGTAAGCATCTCTTTCATCTCACTAAACCCTTCATTAAACTGGCTTAAGGGTGATTTGAACTTTCTTGATACCGAAGTTATTAATCGAACTAGGGCAACATCTAAACATAAACTCAGTTAAATTTTATTAAAATAAGGGTTAATAGCATTTTGTACCCCTCTACTAAATTTTTGTACAAACATACCCTTCTAATATTAAATCGTAACAAGTTTACCCTTCCATCTAATTTTTCGTTAAGTGACCGTTAACTGAGCTGGAAAATGACCCAATTGCCCCTCATTTATTCCTAATTTGAGTTTTAATTATTTTATTATTTATGTCTAATAATTAATTAGAAAAACAAAGCCCTAAACTAATTCAGAAGCACTCCGGAGACCGTTCATCTCCCGGCAGTCTCCCCTGCCGATCAGTCTTCGACTCGACGGCGCCGTCTGCTCCCGCATCTCCTCGCCGTCCTTCTTCTACTTGTTCCAGAACCACAAGGCCCACGAGATCTAGAAGCGCCGCCGCATCGTGGACGACAACGACGTCCTGCTTTCCTCATCATCTCCAGCTTGCACCCTCATCCGCCGCGACGTTCCCTTTTCCTCCTTCGCTAGATGTATGTCTTTGATATCATGTAATGAATTACTTAATCTCAATAATCTTGAGTTGTATTTTGCTTTTGAGTTGTTACTAAAGATGGGTTCATTTATTTGATGCAAATTTTTGAGAGATGAGCCATAACAAGCAGCTCCAATATAAAGCGGAGCCAGCAGCACCAAAAGCTGAAAGAGTGTCAGAAAAATTCCGATTAATTTCCTTCAACGAGGCTGTTGATCATCATCATCACTCATCAGTACTACTACGTTGCCCGTAATGAAGCAGCTGCAGGAAGGAGATGCGGGAGCAGGTGCCGCCGTCGAGTTGCAGGACTGATCGCTGGGGGAGAGTTCAGCTAGACGGCCGGTCTCTGGAGTGCTTCTGAATTAGTTTAGGGTTTTATTTTTCTAATTAATTATTGAACATGAATAATAAAATAATTAAAACTGAAATTAGGTGTAAATGAGAGGTAATTGGGTCATTTCACAGCTCATTTAACGGTCATTTAACGGAAAATTAGATGGAAGGGTAAACTTGTTACGATTTAATATTAGAAGGGTACGTTTGTGCAAAAATTTAGTAAAGGGGTACGTTTGTTAATTTTCCATAGTAGAGGGGTACAAAATGCTATTAACCCTTTAAAATAAATACGGGTGTTGGAAAAGCCACCAACTTTGTGGGCAAATTGAGTGGAGGGCAAAGTTCAAGGGTTCATTAGAGAAAGTATTGAGTTCAAGGAGCCAAAATTAGCATTAATCCCATGAAAAAGCAAAAATGATGAGAAAAGGTGCTAAATCTTAGCAGCCAAAGCTGGAACATGGTAATGAAGCTTGCATTGTCTGTCCTCAAATCTGTTTCAAATAGTTTGACTTTTACAACATAGTATTTTGTTACATTCAGAAAACGGTAGAAAGAGAGAGAGGGGGGTAAACTAATCTATCTACAATATCTGCATTTATGTTGCCTCTCCTAATCAAAACACAAGGGTTAGTAGCTTGGCTGGAACCATAATGAAACAAGTCTGAATAAAATTTTCTGAAACACCCATGAAGAAATATACAGTTAACAGGTTGACTAATTATGTATGGTTATTTATCAGTTAACCCCATCATGGTCATCCATTATACAATCTCTACCTCCTTAGAAGCAGAAGCCTGTTGAGAATCCGAATCAGAACTGTGACTGAAACTTGGCTTCCCATTAACAACAGATCTCTGGCTGAAGATCCTGGCGAATGCACTCTTTGATCGAGCAAACTTCCTTCGACCATTACCATTGCCACTCTTCCTGGCAAGATGCTCTGATAGGTTGTTGACAAGGTTCTGGAAGTTCCTCCTAGCCGTTGGGAACCTTGAGATCGATTTCACAATACCTTGTAGCCTAGGTAATGGAGTCGAAAAATGGAATTCAAGTCAAGATATGAAAAACTAAGAATGTGTTGGAGAAGAGAGGGTTTGTTCACCCACCTTCTAGCCAGTGCATCGAGTTCAGCACGCTTTCTCTCAGTCTCAGGTGGTGGCCCGATATATGAAGTTTTCAACTTGACAGGATCACCATTCAACAGCACTAACTTGCAGAGGTAATCCTCTTCTGACTCGGACAGGTTCTGGGCTTTAAGCTGGTCTTTGATGACCAAGAATGGGTTCAGAAACCAGTCGAAGAAGGCATCTCTCGGCCTGTTTGTGCTTGTTATCTCGGTCACATTATCACCTGCATCAAGGATTGCATTTGAGCTATGCAACTCCAAAGGAAAGCATGAAAGCAACTCTACTTTGATGGGAACTCACTTCACTTACTCAACAAAATGCCTGCACAGTTGGCCTTGGCAGATCTCAACAAAGCTTGCAGAAGGCAGTAAGTTGGCAACCCAGTGCTAATTACTCGGCTACCTTTACCAGACTTGGCATCTTCGACATCTTCCTGAGTTATAAGTCCTTCAGATAAAAATTTCTCCCCATGGACCTGGCAATCCTGAAACCAGCTCTCGAGGAGCTGCCTCACAAAGAGGGTTTTCATTTTAGTACTTAAGCACATGAACATAAACTTTCATATCAAGCCAGTGAAACAGAAGCATGCAATACCTCAAATGGCTTCACATCAACCAGAGGGCCAGTGAATGAAATGGTGCGCGAGAAAGATTTCTTGAATGATGAGGTGGGCCTCGTAAATGAAGCTGAGCGTGAAGTGCCCTCGGATTTCTTCCTGTACTGTGGCCTATTAAGATAAAAAAGAAACACACATTATGATGTGAAGGTCCAAGGAGATTACTCATGAGTTCCCTAAATGTTTGAGATCAGAATACAACCTGGGAAAGCAAGATCCTTCTGGCAAGTCAAGAATGTCATTACTGTACTCATCATAGATGGCCAACGATGCTGCAACGTATCGAAGTCCATAGCAAAAGGACTCCTGCAAACTCCCACCATACAGAGTCAGAGATATAATGTAGCTACGTGAAGTTCGTACGTTACAGAATGAACGCGAACCCAGATCATATGCAAAATGAATATCGACCTGATACACAATCACAGCAGCATAAGCACCGAGAAAGATGCTCGACACCATGGATCCCAAGACAGCCCCAGCAACAGCCAGCGGCCAGAGTAAAATAGCAAGACCGGCAAATGGGACACATATTGTTTCCAAGAAAGGGCCTTCTCTACCAACAAGGTCATGAAACAGACGATGCCATCCTTTAAACAACATATATGGGCTCTTGCATAAGGCTATGAAAGAGACCATGGGGAAGTCGAGCAAGACACCGAGCACACCAGCAATTAGAGCACCAGGAAGCTGAAGCAGTCTGTAGGAATAGCAAAGGAAATGAATCTTTCAGCTAATGGGCTCACTCCTATAACTACATGCATAAGCAAAGTGAGTCTTGCAAACCATGTTTTGTGTTATTAGAAGGACCGAGTTTGGATTAGAGCACACATAGAATCGAAAAGACACTAGCAAACCTGATCTCATAGTACTTTCCATCTTCAGGCCCTTTCTTTTGAAGATCATCCATGAGTGAGGAATAAGAATGATAGCACACATCACCAAAGTCTCTTATAATCGTGAAACAACCACTCACGGTATCTATAGTTCCATCCTGAAAAAATGAAAACATCGATTAAGACTAACATCAATTGCATGACTAAGAGTGGATAACTGAATCATCAAATTGATTTAATTTGAGACACATACAACGAAGCAGTGATAGAACTTATCACTCTTCCCTTCTCCAATAGCATCAAAAGTGGCAAATATTGGTGAGAGTAAGCCATATAATGCTCCACCGACGATGCTTCCAGCAAAGCCGAGCACCAGCCATAGAATTAAGACGGTCGGTAAGCAAATGCAAAGAAGAAGCTTCACGAATGGTCCCAGTTGTCTAGAACTGCCAGTTATGCAGACAACCAAGAGGATTTAGAGATTGTCCAGCATGGGAACAATAACAAAAGAAAAAAGAACAGTAAGGTCCCAGGAAAGTACCTCAAAATGGAATAGTATGTCCAGTAGAAATGAAAGGGCCAGAGACTCAATATGATACCAAAGTTTCCAATCAACATGAAAATGAGGATCACTGGGCACAAAATGACACCTGGAAAAGCAAACAAAGGGTTCACATTAGATTCTTGATCTCTCCAGAGATAGAATACTAATAAACTGACTCTCAAGTAGTCCAAAGAAGAGTATGAATTGCAAAGCCGAAACAAGATACTGCTGTCAATCATTAAACACCATTTCAGTCTGCAAACTTCTACATTTAGAAAACATTAAATGGAAATCACTTAAATCCATTCCATATAATATCACCAATACGATAATCACAAATGATTGATAAGCTGATGAAGACTGAGGAAGAGGAAAGGGGGAGAAACCTCAATCACCCATTCCATACTTTTAGAACTGAAATGATTGGCAAAAGACGAAAGAAGCAACAAGGAACCAGTTCAATCCACTTTAGAGCAAGGAACCGAAACACAGGGGGTAAAAGCTTACCCTTGATGATTCCCAGAATGAACAGCCCAATGAAGATAGGGAGAAAGATTATGAATGACCAGAGCGTAGAGAAGAATCCTTTGGGACGCTCCATTGTCTATCTCTCCCTGCGCCGAACAATCCAAAGGACAAATGAACTTCTTTCAGATCTCCACAACTCAATCAAAACCACCTTTAAGCAAAAACTCCAAGTACCAAAACCGCAACCACAAGCAAACCCAGAAAGCAAAAGAGTGAAAAGAAACATTTTTTTACAGTAGGGGGAAGAAAAGGAAAACTTACCAGAAAGGAGTAATGGTAGATCTGCTTGCCAAAAGAACCCAAAAAGCTATATTGCACTCTACTTTCTGCTTAGGGAACCCAGAAAGGGCAAAGGGAAAGGCGTGAGGCAACCCTTTGCCCCTGGAGATTACTCAAACGTAGCAAAGCAGAACCTTCTTTTGTCCTTTGTCTCCTTGCGAATCGCAACCAGAGGGTAAGCGCAGCAAACACAAACTCTGGAGGGAAACGATATTGCTTTTTTCACATGGGAACTGAATTAGGCAGTTAATTAACGACCCTTTATCACAAAATTTTATCAAAGAAATACCAAGCAGCTCAGTGTGCCAACAGCCAAGTTTGGTTTTTCCTCTCTCTCACTCTTACAGTATTTTTTTTCTTATCTTGGTGTGGTATTTCAGGGTTGATTGATAGGAAAATGGCAGCAGTGTTTTGTGTGCTTGAATTATAAGCGAAGCAAAAGTGTTTGAGCTTTGGAATCTCATTAGTTACAAGTCTGGGGATTTTCTGCTGAACAGGAGGGAAAATTAGAAGATTCTGCAAAAGCTTTCCATGGTTTTCCTTTTATATATTCTCTTTTTTTAATCATATTAACTTATACATGGTCTCGCTCCATAAAATTGCAACCCACATGTTGCACATTGCTGAAATCCCAAGTATCACTTCCTTGCTCACATAATAACCTATTAGAGTTGGAAAAAGTATGAGTTGTTAGGTTTATTGTGTCGTTTTGAGTTATTATGCTAAGTTATTGCTGGATCATCGTCTTGTGATGTTTTAGATCGAGTTATTTTTTTTTTATGAATAGATCGAGTCACTTTTAATTAGCAGCAATTTTGAGCATTCTTTATTATCACTTTGATCATTTAACTGATTAACTCACAAGCCAATATGAGCAACTAAACTCGATGAAGATGAACAGAAGACCAAAGTACTATTACCTCCCCTATTCTAAACTCTACTTACATCATAAAGCACTAAGTTAACTGACCGATTTCTTACCGACCCAAAACTTTGGTGAACATTTTTGTAATGGGTTTATACCACATTTGGTCACTGAGATTACTAAATCGAGTCATGTTTAGTCACTAGAAAAATTTAATATCAATTTTGGTCACTTGAATTACTGAAAAAGGTCACATTTAGTCTCTCTCGTCAGTTTCCGTACAGCTCCATTAATGGAGTTGGACGAACACTAATGGGAGAGTGACTAAATGTGACATATTTTAGTAATTCGAGTGACTAAATGTGACATGTTTCGGCAATTCGGGTGACCGGAGTTGGACGGAGGCTAATGGGAGAGTGACTAAATGTGACCTGTTTCATTATCTCGAGTGACCAAAATTGATATTAAATTTTTCTAATGACTAAACATGACATGATTTAGTAATCTCAGTGACCAAATGTGGCATTTACCCTTTTTGTAATTGGCCCATTTCAAATATTATATCTCTGCTATTAGAATTTCCGCCACACTCTGGGTTCGAACCTTGGGGCCAACAACCAATGAAAAAAAAACTCTATCTGCAATTTCATTGAGGGTCACTCCTCTGAGATTTGATAAGTAAACATGTTGCATCGACATAGCATAGCTGCTTATATTTTGTAATTGTCCAGCAGAGGGGTGTGTGAGTACATTCTTGGTGACATGAACTGTAATCCTTTTAATTTATCGTCCTAGAAGAATGAAGTAACAACTCTAATCAATGGAACCTCTTGTTTCACATTACTAATTGGTTATTTTTTCTGCTGTTGATAGAGTTAAAGTATTAATGGCTTCTGATTACTATATGTGGAGGTTTGTGACAAAGTAGGTACTTTGTCTCATTGCATTTGTGCCCATTTTTAATTCGGCTAAGAAGGCAGGCATGTTAAACAAGTTGTTCGGAAAGCCAAATTTATTATTTGACACCTCATATACGTATTTATCCACGTATGATCACGTTACTTGATCAAATATAGATGAGTTGATCTCCGAGTTAATATATCGAATTTCTTGAATCTCAAATTGCTTCTGAAATTTAGAAGTGACGAGCTTTCTTGTGAATGAAGCAAAAGGTTCGATCCCTTAAGAACTCTCGATTATGTTATAGACAAGGATCCTAAAATCAATATCCATAATCATATCACGAGAATCAACAATATTGAAAGCTATTCATTCATCTTTTTTCGTTCTAAATAAGTTTAGATTTACGAATTGTCTCCCTCGAAATTGATGTATATTTTTTTTTTCTCTCCTGTGAAATGTTTTTTAAGTAACAACAAAGTGACACAAACTAGCTATTTCCCAATTAATTGCTCTACAATATAATGTGATTTTGAATCTTTGATGATGGTCTCAATGTTTGGCCCTTTCTATTATTCATTTAATCACACGAGACTCCAATTTCAGCTATTTGCACACATTCTTGCATCGGATTTATTCATACCTCCTTTTTTTTTTATTCCAAGAATAGTTCTTAACAAGGAATGGAGGGACAAAAGACAAATCGAATGTATTATATATGTTCTTCGATTCCTCTGTTGTTTGTTTGAACAACCCATATTCTAATTAGTTCATCTATAAGATACTTATAATACTTGAATTATAATGAAGTGGCTAAAGTACAAATTAGGGGTGGGCAATGGGCGGGTTGGGTGGATTTTGGTCACAAATTGACTCATCCGCTTACTAGCGAGTTGGAATAATTTTGACCCGCAATCCACCAACATATCTCTGCGGGTTGAGTTGGGTGGGTGGCGGATGAGTGCGGTTGGGTCGTGGGTCAACCCGCAAAAGTAATTCTCCAACTAGCCATTAAGAAAGTTGACTAACATTTATAATAAGTTCATAGAAAATTAGTAAGACTGTATCAATAATATGTGCTTTTGATACAATTAATAATTTATAGTTTGCATCTCAATATTTAATTGATATTAACAATAATTTGCATACCAATATCCAATATCTAATAGATAATGCACAACACAAAACCAATAATAGTAGTCAAAACTATTCTTTATTCTCCACATTTTGAAGTATATGGTCAGACTGTAGTGCAGTTCGAAAATATGATGAATATTCATACTATAAGAAACAACATTTTTTCATGTAAAAATAGGATGCGGGTCGTATGGGTGACCCGAAATCCACCCACCACTCACCCACATAAGTGCGGGTGGAAGATTTATCAATCCGCAATCCATTCACATCAATCACCCATAACGTGCGGGTTGAATTATTTGCGGATGGATCGATATCAATCCACGGATTAACCACCCACATGCCCATCCCATCTCTAGTACAAATTATGGGAAAGCATTGTTAATTATACTTTTTGTCTAGCACTTTCTGTTGTCAAACATCTGTTACACTTTTGTGGAAAACAATAATACAGCTCATCTCTTATCTTGATATTTCATAATGCTCCATTATAAATTTAAAAAGATCGGAAAGTTGCCTGGGAAAGGCACTACCATTGAGGATGTTCAAAATAAAATACTTTGAACATTGGGATTTATCTGATCCGATCAAAAGCAATCTTATAGTGCACCAAGATGAAGAAGAAGAAAAAAGATAATTGAGATGCAATTGAAGTACAAAAAGCATCGAATTCAATTAAAGAAGGTCCCATGTTCGAATCCAATGTCTTCCTACCAAATGCTTCTGCAAAGATCCTTTGAGCCGGTAGGACCAGATGCCTTTATTTACATGCTCTAAGCAATTTGCCGAGAATTTATGGTGCCTCAGCTCCAAAAGGTTGAAGCTTTACTTACATACTGAGATTCTTCGACGGTAAAAACTTACAAAGTAGGATAATAAGTTAACAACTTCGATCATATCTCACTGAAGGAATAATAGTAAACCAAGATTTGGTCAGTAACAGTTTCTAGTAAGAACCCAAATATACAAAATGACACACAAAAGAATACAGCAGTCTTACATATTCATCATGCATTAGCTTTCCCTTCCTTGTCTATAGTAGATTTCCCTCTTGTCAAACGGTTGACTTCTCCTGGGAACATCAGCAAACTTCGTAAACTCGGTCAGAGTCTTCCTAATCCTCACTCCACCTCCTCCTTTCTTTCTCTCCGGTGGCCGGTCTCCCAGCAAGCTCACATCAATGGTAGCACCTGAAGCCCGAGAAGCATCCACAACAGCATCATAGGCCTTCGACGAAAGCACAAGGCCATCATTCTGAGCACGCAAGTAAGCCTCGTAGGCAAGCCTCGGCTTCCCATCTCTCACCAGAGCTTCAATCAGCATCTGGTAACTGATCTCGTTTGGCTCCACGTCCTGCTGCCTCTCCATGCGATGAAACCACTCGTATGCTGCACTGCTCAACCCACGACGCGCACACCCACTGATGATGGCGTTGTACGTGACAACTGTCGGTGGAATGCCCACATCAGCCATCTCTTTGATTATGGAGTCGACGAGCCTGAACTTGCCTTGCCCGGTTAGCACAGAGGCCATGATGGTGTATGCATACAAGTTGGGTTGGACTTCCATTTTCAGCATGTGGTTCCATACACGAAAGGCCTCCTCGTAGAGTCCGGCCTTCTCGAGTCCGCTGAGGAGTGCACCGTAGGAGATAATCGTTGGCTTCTCGCCTTGCTCGACCATTCTCTTGAATATCTCCACAGCTGCAGAAGTTTCAGCAGCTTTTGAGCAAGCCACGAGAACTGCATTCCACTGCCTGCTCTCGGGTTTAAGTCCTTTATCCTGCATCTTGTTAAGTAATCTAACTCCCCACCTCCAAATTCCTCGTTTGCTAGCAGCGGCCAGTAAGACATTGAAATGAGAGATGATTAGCTCGGACGATAAGTTATTAGGGCTTGGTCCCTTGTCTAGCAAGTCTTCATAGATTTCTAAAGCTGCCCACCATTTCTTCGCCTTTCCCATCAACCAAATTAAGTGGTTGCAGACAGACAAGCTTATTTCAGGGTATCTTTCTCTGACTCGAGTGTACAACTCTTTGGCAACACGATAATGATCTTCGCGCGTGCAAGCCCAGATGAGTCGTTCATATTCTGCTCGACTCGTTTGAAGACCTGCATTATCCATACTTGTTAAAAGCTTGAACACTTTCGTGCTCATGTCTTGAAGCCTTGCGAGCCATCTTCTCATCACCTGATAGCAAATCCTGATCGTGAAGTCCTCGAGTTTAGCAAACTCCTTCTCCCAATCCTCATCATCACCATTATCTCTCCCCAGCTCCCCTTTTACATACTTCTCCTTGAACTCTACAAAGAACTTCAATGCTCCATCTCCATCTTCCATCCTTCGGTAAGCCATCAAGGCAATCGAATAGGAAGCAGCAGATGGTGTAAAGCCGTTCTGGCAAATCTGTTCGAAGATACTGAGAGCCTTGGAGGGTTGTTCCTGCTCGACATGGATCATCATCAAGATGTTGTAAGTCACGACGTTGGGATGGATCCCTTCACGAGCCATGTCATTCACTACTTTCTCGGCTTCTTGATACTGTTCGCAGTCTTTTACAACTGTCAACAGGCTGTTGTAGACAAAGAGGTTTGGACCAATAAAAGCACCAGCAGTTTCTACCTTCTTTCTCCTGAGCCAATCCACAACTGCCAATGCTGGCTTCATCTTCTTGTCCCAACCGAAACCCCTGATCAACGAGGAATACACTCGAATTGGGAATATCCCCATGTCTTTAAGAACCTCCTCTACATCATCTGCTGTTTCAACAGCATGTAAGCTCTTGGCCAGCTCTCGAACATCGATCTTCCCTTCCGGATCACTGATCCCATTAGTGGCATCTACCCTATCAAATTCATGAGATTCTCCATCGATGTTCTCGTTCTCTGTGTTGGATTGAGTACTACTACGAACAAGACTCTGCGTCTCTTCTTCATCCAATTCCCATGCTGATGCAACAGATGAACAAGCACAATCTTTCTTTTTCTCAGCAACAATGTGAAATCGTAGCTTAGGGTATCTACACGTAAACCCATTACTACTTCTACCATACCTTGAACCAGCAGAAACTAGGAAATGACCATAATAAATTGAATTATGAAACAAAGAAACAGCAAAAAAGCCAACTTTCTTCCTTCTACAGCTGTAAAGGCACGAAGCTAAGTCCGATTCGACCTGGGGAAGCGTCCATAAGCTAGATTTTGACGGCCAGACACTCAAAGCTTGCATCTTTCCAGCAAATTCAGCAGTTCATAGCAAAACCCACAACCCAAAATTCCAGAACGAGAGCAATAAAGCATGCTAAGGTTTCCTTCCCGTAGCACTTGAAGTAAGAAGCAAGAAGCAAGATTGTCAGGAAGCTGATGGCTTTGGGTACCTGAAGAAATGGCAGAAGGCAGTTTTACTGTTCATCCGGAACGGATAGATTTCTGGTTTTCTGGATTTCTTCAGTTTTGGGGACTTTGGTTGCCCGGTGGCACTCTGGCGTCCGCACAAACAAGCTTGGCGAAATGGAAATGACGTAGTTTCAAGCTTTCAGATCGTAGTTGGGCTCACTACCAGGCCTCTAAGGCAAACTGGGTTCTTTGGGCCCAATTGAGAATCCACTGGTCAAGACAGAAATTTCCTTTCCTAATAGTAGCCAATGATGATTTTGAATTAATAAATTAGTACTAGAATAGGATGTTAAGATTCTTATAATTTGGTTCTAATTAATTTTCCATTTTGGGTTATTATGAGTAAAAAATAAATCAGTGCTAGATTAGAATGACAATAAATTTGTTTTGATTTAAAAGCGGATCGAGATACTATAATAACAAGTCATCGAACAAAGGGGAAAAAATGATGAAATTCGATTTGATCGGATTTCTATGCTTTTAGTTAATGGAACAAATCAAACTAAATAAAATTTAAATTTTGAGTTTTGAACTTAATTGAACTATGCATCTATATGGTTTAACACTCTAATTGAAAGAGATTAGAGAATATATATTTTTCAAATTTAGTCAGAGTATAATTTTTCAACATCCTTCGTCATCGTTAGCACCACATAAAAATATTTCTCCTAGATTAGCTGTTAATACGAATAAGAGAAACTCTAATAGCCATTCTGTACATTCAATGTACTCTACGGATAGGGGAATACATAAAGTTGAACATAGTAAAATAAGAAATTGAAAGATTTCGTTGAGGAAAAGACTCGAATGGTACGAACCCTCCGTCACCCCAGAATGAAAGGGGCGATCTCGTAGTTCTTGGTATGTGAAAATACGTTGTTAGACGTTGCCTACGATAATGAATCTCATACTATTTAACGATACATGCTAATATTAATTTTTGAACGTCGAAATCCAACCATATTTCAAAACAAAATTGGGACAGGAAATTTAAAACTACTGCCATTCTCAGTTTCTAAAGCTTCTCTAGCACATGCATACATTAATATTAGATAATCACAACTTTCAGCAACAACAACAACATATAGCATTAACGAAGACAACACACACAAGATCAACAACAATCAAATCCATAAATATATGTTTAAAGACCCACAAATCACTCACGAATCACGATTATACTGATAATGAACTCATCTCCTCCCCACGCTCAATAAACAAAAAAAAAAAAAATCAAATTCAAATCCCCATCTTAATCATCATTCATCAATCGTCCAAATCAATCCATCAAGAAAGGATTACCACCCCAGAACGAATTACCATTGCTGTTATTATAACCACCATTGCCGCCGCCGCCGCTGCCGCTCGAACTCTCCCCAAAATGCACCCCACCACCGCCCCCAACCGCCGCCGACGGCGCCATCATCATCAGACCCTCCCCCACGAACCCCATCTGCCGCTCCGCCGCCGTCACCGGGATCGGCCCCGGCGGTGGCGCGGGGTTCATCATCTCCATAAACCACTGCTGCCTCTGCATGCTCTCAATACTCTCCGCATACTCCTCCTTGGGCCCACTGTTCCCAACCACTTCCGGCCCAACTGCCTGACTCGAATCCGGCCCAGTCAGCCCACCACGGCCCAGATCCGCGATGTGGCGGTCGACATCCTTCAGCTGCCCGTCGATGTAGCGGGAGATGACGTCAAGATCAGTCAACGTCAGGCTGTGGAGCGCCATCTTCCCCTCCAGGCACTGGCTGACAGCCTGAGCCACCTCCTTGTCTCGATTCTCCCGCTCCTGCTTCCTGAGCTGCTCCGCCGCCTTCTTGATCCGCTCCCCGAGGAACTTCTCCTGGTCCACCATCTTCTTGCACTGCTCCATCTGCGGCACCTTCTTGAACCGGGACAGCACGCTGTGAACGCCGGCGGCGGTCGGCGGCCAGGTCTCCGGGTGGGAGTCGTAAGGGGAGTAGACGATGGCGCAGGCCTGGATGTCGCAGAGGGTGCTGAGCTCGCTCACCTTCTTCATCAGGCCCTTCTTCCGCTTCTTGAACGTGGCCTTGCGGGCCGAGTCGTTGGCGATGTAGGCCAGCTTCACCTTCTTCCTCGTCATGAATCGACGACAGGCGGATCTAGGGCAACGAGCGAACGAGAGCTGAATCGCTTCTTTTGAAGGTGGTGCGGAAATGTTGTGTGACTAGTGAGGTTTATATAGGGGGGAACTAGTGATGAATTGTTGTGATGTGATAAGTGAGTGAGCTGTACATTAGTTGTCTTGGGGGGAAAGGGGTGGATGGAAGTATTAGTGAATATACCATAAGAAGAAAATCTTTGGGAATCATGGGGTTTAAAAGTGTTGATTTACATTCTATATACACGATTTGGTGGAATTAGGAAACAGAATTTTTTTCCGCATGACGATTTAGGATAAGTTTTAGTTTTTAATAAGGATATATTTTTAATGCCGTGGAGTGAGAATGTGAGATTAATATATCGGTGATTATTCATATATGGTAAGTTTTGTCGCGATGAGAAAGCGGGGATCGTAAATGTGTTTTTTTTTTTTATTTTGATTTGCTTTCTATTACATGATGGTGTTTGTTTTGCGAGAAAGTTTCGTTGACCTTCTCAGTGACATCGATCTAGCAAAAACATTTTGCGTATGACTATATATTAGAGCAATTTTATCATAATTATGACGATCGTTCCGTTTCGGGGTTTGAAGACTCTCGTTTCCTTTTTACTCAAACATAAGCCTTGTTGATATAAGGTATTTCATTTCAATTATATTCCAGAAATTCGAGCTAAATCTTCTTTTCATTCGCTGGACTCAAAAAATAAAGATATATAGCACGCATATGGTCAGGTCTTTCTAGATGTAAAAACTAGATTTTTTTTCAATAATCTTTATTGAACCACATCAAAATACCGTGTCAGGAAACGAACGTAAAAAACACGACCACCACAAATTAACCCTTACAAGACAAAGATGGTCCAATCGTACGAATGAATGTGCTTGAGGTTGTTAATTACTTACTATAATTGATTTAATTAATGATAACCATGCATTAAAGACATAGATTTGGTCTGGGATATGACAGTTAATGTGAAATCACAAAGTTGTTGTAAGAAAAATAGATTGGATGGTGATGAGTTGGACAGGCAGGAGTTGGAGTTCGATTCCAATTTTGTTTTGATATTTAATGCATGGTAGTATTACTTATGGCAATAGATTGTCGCCTCAAGTTTTGCTTAGTAAAATGAAAGCAGATTTTGATTAAAAAAGGGCTATGAATCTGATATATGGTTTTCCATATTAATTGTATATCTAGCCAGCTTTACATTAATCTGTAGAAATCTTTTCTGAAACGGTGTGATAATAATACAATACATATGCAATTGGAGCACTTCTACTATGCTATATAGTATTGGTGTTTTAATGCACAATTTAAAGTTGTATCATAACATTAAATGTATAAGTTTAGGTTGTACCATAAAGCAATTTGTACCATTATGTTATGGTACAACTTTACAACTTGAAGTTGTACCATCACATAGAGGTACAAGTTCAAGTTGTACCATAAAAGAATTTGCACAAAAAATATAGGTACAATCTGAAGTTTTACCATAATGTAAATGTACAATTTTAAGTTGTACCATAAAGGCAAAACGCCAAAACCCTATAGCACCAATACTATATAGCATTGCAAAATTTCACCTAGTTATGTGATATATATATTTTTAACAATAATTTTTTGACAAGATTATGTGTTATATATTCATGACCGGGCATTGATATAAATGATTTAACCATATTGGATTATGTAAGATATTCATAATCATTACTCGTCAATTATTTCGATGTTCACAATACGAAAAAAGTGATTATGAGGATTTTTTATGGAATATGATGTACATAAAAGATATCCTAACTACGATAATTGTACAAGATCGATGATAGCAACAAAAACAACATACATGAATTTTGTAAGGCCTTCATCATGTTACTAAATAATTAGTTGATATTCATGATAAGAAACAGAAAATGAGTGATTATGCAATGTTTTCTTTTAGAATTATGGACGTGGAAAACATTCTAACTCTTACAATTAAAGAGAACTCAATAGCACCCAAAACAAGATAACTTATGTATTGTATGTAAGGACTGTAATAAAGTATTTATGATATCCCAATTTGTTATAGCATGATTGTTCTCAAATTTGTTATAACATGATTGTTCTTCTTCAATTACGAGTGATCTTGTGGAATCTGAATGCTACTTTATTATTGTTGAAGTAACTATTTCAAATGCATAACTATATGATAGCTCATTATTTTTATGTATAAAAAATCATGAGCGTTATATGTGCCTCTAGCCAGCGATCAACTAGGATTAAATTTTTTATATCCACATTGACACAACTTAGTTAAGAAGGGTTGGTATAAGTTTCGACTTTTGATCCTCATTTTTTCTAGTCGTTTGAACTCACTATCTATAGATTTTCGAGATCAAATTCAAACTATCGAAACTTATAGTACTTAGGTCATATGTCATGGTGTGAATAGAATATAGGGTAGGGAAAATAGACCAGACCGTTAGAAAAACCGTGGTCCATACCGTACCGCACAGTTTGGTCCGGACCGTAGACCGTTAAGTATGGTCTGGTCTGGTCCACGGTCTGTGTTATTTTATGTTTTGATCTCTTGGTCTGGTCTGGTCTAGACCGGGGTTTATCGGACCGAACCGTGGACCCAACCAACTTGTCAATACGTGTTAACAGCTCATTCGACCACTCTCCCAACTCCCACAACGACACCCAAGTATCAACCTTAGTT